AATCCGTCAGGGAGGAAAAGTTGTAGCTTTTCAAATAAAGAAGTAAGTGTGAGAGTAATAAGCATTACAAATCAACACATGAAAATCAATTTCAAACGTGTACAGTTTGTGTTAAGAAATCAGCTGTGAAAACAAATTCTAATCGGCAACCGAGTCCCTTCAGGCGAACAATATATTTTCAAAGCTAAACAGCCAAAAGTGTTTCATGTGTTAAAGTCGTACAGTACAAATCAATTGCAGAAATAAACTGTTACCGTAGGCGCATCTGAAACTGGAATATGTTGCAAAGTTGAAACCTTGTTGCGGCGATGAACAGCCAGTCATAACCCATCCTGAAGCAACATAACGTGCTGTAACTCCAATTAAAATTAGTCTTTGTGACACTTTGGCTTGCTGTTTGCAGTGTGTTTGCATTAACCCTTTAATATATAAAACAGAACATGCTCTGAATTTAACCACAACTAAACAACAGTGAATTTGAAGCATCGGAAAGATTCTATTTTTAACTCGTTGACAGATTAATTGTAGTGTTCAAGTACAAATAATAAAAGAAACAAAACAACCAAAAAACAAAAACCCCACAACATGTTCTCAAGCTTAGCTTTGGGTTTACCACTCACCACCATGTTTGTCAGGTTACATAGTCAGATAATCAAAATTTTTATCAAGCAAATAAACTGTCTGAGTAGAGCTGAGGTGAGACGAGGAAACAGCAACCACCACTGCCAAGACCCCTGTTTATCAAGCCAACACATTCACAAGACCTTTACTAATTAACCTAAGCCGGGCTCAGACTACAGGAGTGTTTAAATCCTAACCAGTTTTTTTAAAATCAGGTTGCTTCACACCTTCACAACTTTACATTGTTCTTCTCTCTAATCTCATGGGAAAGCAGGTGTAAACAAAATGGCGTGACTTGGTGCGATTGCTTTGCAGTGAGAAAAACAAAAGCAGAACATTAAATGAGTCTGGGTGAGAAAAAGGTTTGAGAGACACGGTCAACGTGGATCGTCTATTCTTTAGTGGGAACTGAAGGTGACTGACTTTCAACTGTCAGTTTTAATATCTAACAACAGTAGTATGTTAGCTAACGTTAGCCTCAAGGGTTTCAATGTTTTTTGTTGCTTGGCAACACCGTCAGCCGCTTTTTTTTCTGATATAATCATAACCATAATCATCCAGATTTTAAATCCTAATTATCAAACATGGTTCAGATTATTAAGGCAGCCACAATGAGTCTGTGAGCAGTTCAAACTGGATCTCTAAACGTCTCACATCACCAGCTAATCTGAGCTGAGCATCGGTACCGACCAAGGTCCCAGACCAGATTTCTCCTCTGAGTGTCGCGGAGGGTGAATCTGGGATAAATCAGCCCAAAACTCCTGCAGTCTGAGCCCTGCTAACTGTTTTTAAGAGAGTTCTTTAATCTCTGTCACTTCATTACAGTCTTTGTTGGCCATTAAAGGAACTGCAGTCAGAGACATTTCTGTGTTGACTTCAGTGTCCAGCCATGGTTGTTGCTGCATATCAAAAACCCAAATCCCTTTCCCAAATGTCAGTTTAAATAATTTAAAACAGTATTGGTGTGTGTCTTTAACAGGCTGTCCCCCTGTCCACGATCCCTACTGGTGCCTTAACAGTTGGAGGGCTCACCTTCCTACCAGCACAGGAAGCCATTTGCTGCCGTTCATTCTCTTGGAGTGTGAAAAACAACTTCCATAAAGCTAGGTTATCCATCACAGTAACCACACAGCCTCCATTATATCTGACTAACTCGAGCTGTGTTTCTCCAAATCAGCGCTGCGCTAAATTAAGCTCTGCTTACAGTCTGTCATCTCAGAATGCCAGGAAGAAGTCAAAGTCCCTGGTAGGAAATAATCCCTTATAAAAACGCCCCGTTACAAACTCTGTCATATCTATGTCTTTGTATTCTTAAAAATGAAATACAAGTGAATATTGGGGGGAAAAATACGAACACTAAGCAGTGAAAAATGACTGCAGGAAGTGTGGACAGGTGCATGGGCTAAAATCCCAGATCAGGAAAAAATGCAGTCACATAGGACCAATGCCAAGTTTTGCATCTCAGGGTTACTGAGCAGCTCCCTTTTTTAATTACAGCTGAGTCTCAGAAATATACCTGGTCCTGTCCAATAAGCTCTAGCTGGTAAACATCTTCTGTTCGCTACAGCTTTGGTCTGATTTTTACAGGTTATCAGGTTTTCTGTTCTTTAACGTTTTCCTTGTATTTAGCTTTTACTGTAACTGTGTTACCATAGGTATTGGAACCTTTTTGTGGGGTTATTTGCAAGTACTTTCAACATTTAAAAAGTACTATGTGAATAAAATCCCTGACACACCAAACCCATCGTCAGCCGTTGTCAATGTCGAGCTATTGGTGAGTGTCTGTCACCTTGGTGTTTGCGGTGTGTCCAGCGCCATTGGCACTAGTCAGCCCTTGTTGCCTTTTTTTTGTTTGTTTGTTTTTTTTGTTTGGCAGATTCAGCATGTTGATTCAGTGTTGGACCCATTGGAGCCCAATGGGGAGAGAAATCACTGTGATTGGCAGTTTTGCTCAGTGCACGTGAAGAGAAACCAAGCCAGGAAAGCTAACAGCTAAAGTCAAGACGTGGTATCGAAACAAACATTAGGTAAAATAGTGTTTTAGCCATTGAACTCTTTAGCAGGCACTGTTTGTAACTGTTTGTGTAGTTGTTCGCTAGGGCCTGGTAAATATAATTTGTTCTTTCAAGAGGGGTTGTGTTGTTAATGTGTTAACTGGCTAACTAGCGTCTTGAATTCATTGTGTCTGTCTTCTTGTTTCCCTTTTTGAATGATGACTACAGACTATCACTGCCTGCTGGTATGAAGAATTATTTCCTTTCACACAGGCGCAGACTGTACATACAAGTTGGCTGTAGTCTTTATGGTGTGTTTAAGTGCAGTTTTTTGGCCGAGACACAGGTGACACGAGGTGACGCAACAGTCGGCCTACGTCACTGCTAGTTCTTGGATGTCGGTTTGGTGTGTCTGAGCTTTTATTGTTGTTAATTATAGATTGTGTGCCATGAAACTGCCTGATTGCTTCAACAGAGACACTGGGAGTTTCAGTATTGTCAGAGAGAGAATGTCTTTGGTATCATGAATGTATCACAGAAATACAGATAACTGACTCAAACTGCTGAGTTACAATGAGACTGACCAAGTAAGTGAACGTACTGAGAAAATACGACCTATCTTCAACTGAACTGTTTATAAAAATAGTTAAAAAACACAATCTTGAGTGTAAAAGCACAGGAACCTGGTGTGGAATGAACCCCTCTGGCCTTTTTTGTTTTTACTGTGCAAGGGAAACATTAATCAGACTAGGTGAACAGAAGGATGGACAGATGGCAGTGGGTAAAATACAGAAGTGCCTTTTCTACCAATTAAATTAACTTAGAGCAAACATTCAGTGTGAAATGTCTTCTTTGCCATCGCTGATCTCAGGCACCGGGATGACTCACTAATCACTAAAACCTACTGCATGGAAGCTAATTTAAGCTCAGCACTATTGCACAAACCAAAGAAAACATACTCTACACTATTTATTATTTAATTATAAACCTGGCCTAAATTGGCATGCAGAAACTCTTAACTAATGGTATTAAAAGTGGGGGTGTTACGAAATGTGTCTAGAAATTCCATAGAAAAGTGATTTACAGCAGTGATGACGTACTACATTTACAAATGTGACGACCATGGATATGGCTTTGACAAGTTGAAAAGGCCTTAACTTGTTTAGATGAAATGGTTGTCAAAAAAATGATGTGGTGTTCAATTCCAAAGATTAAGACTTTGCAAGATGGCAGGCACTTTTAGCAGCTTCTCCACTGCTAAAAGTTGAGAGAGAATGGCTAGTATGTGCAGAAAACCACATGGATTCACAAAAAGCTGGGTCATAACTTCACAAGCAGTCATACAAGTAGTGCTTCATTTTACGGACTCTTAATTTCCTAATTACTTTCCTCATATTTTCCTGAGGTGTTTACAGAAAAGAACTACAAAATAATTAAGAAACTACGGGCCTGTAAAATAAAGTATTACCATCCTACAAAATAAACTACTAACACGTAACAATTCAGGCCTTGTCCACACAGACACGTGTATTTTTGTAAACAGGGTTTTTCCCTCCTTCATTCTCAAAAAAACGCCAAACAATTAAGGCGGCATCAAGAGCATGCCAAACCAACAGGCGACAATATAAACGTAACCCTAAAGCCACACAAAGAAGAAGAAAATGAAGAAGATGACAATGAAGAAGGCAACAAAAAACACGACAACAATGAAGAAGACGACAAAGAGAAGGACAACAACAAAGAAGACAACGAGGAAGAAAACGAAAACGATGACAACAAAGAATCTCTGTCCAAATTAAAACGCAAAACAAAATGGAGGCGCTGTCAAGAGCATGCCAAAACCAACAGACGGTGATATAACCATACCTGTAAAGCCACGCAAAGAAGAAAATGAATAAAACGATGTAGGAGACCACAACAACGAAGAAGCAGAAGACAATAACAAACAAGACAACAAAAAAGACCAAGAGGACGACAAAGGAGAAAATGACAAAGAGGAAGACAACACCTAAGAAGATTACATCAAAGAAGATGACAACAAAGAGGATGAGGAAGAAGACACAAACAACAAAGAAGACAATGTAGAAGACAACGACAGCAAAGAAAAAGACAAAGACAACAACGAGGATAATCAGGAAGATCACAAAGAATATAACGACAACAAAGACGACGACGACGACAAAGATGACGACAAAGAAGATGACAACAGCAAAGAAGACAAAGTAGACAACGACAACAAAGAAGACAATGAAGAAGACGACAATGAAGAAGACGACGACAACAAAGAAGACAAAGTAGACGACGACAACAAAGACAACAAAGAAGACGACGACAACAAAGAAGACAATGAAGAAGACAAAGAAAACGAAGAAGATGAAACTGCGAAGTAGCAAAAGACAAAGAAGAAAACAATTAAGACAATCAGGAAGAAGACAACAAAAAAACAAAGAAAAAGATATTTCTGGAAGGCCATCCTGAGCAGTGTCCTCCTAGTCCTACTATTTGATCACCCCTGCCATTGAATGAAATACCGCTTCATTTGTGACACCTCACAAAGGCAAAAGCTTACCCTGCTATCTCAAGCCAAAAATTCCCTCTGTTTCCTGTCTACTCGATGACAACGAAAATGACGATTCTGAAAATCTTCACCCTGGACGGAGTTTTGCAAAAGATCAGGTTTCAGACAGTTTGTGTGTGGACACACAGGAAAAGCTACATTTTCAAATATACTGGTGCTGATGTGGACAAGGCCATGAAGCCTCAAAAGGCTGCTGATCATTAAGGAAAAAATCAAAATGTTGAAAGAGAATTTCATCTCGGCAAATGCTTTTAACACTGCGTGGCCATAACTTCATTCAACCTCAGACACAGTAAAATAAACAAATGCCGATCACAACACTGGCACTGACTCTGGCACATCCCCACATGCACATTTATACTTGGTACCTAACAATGAAATGAGATAGTAGCTATGACACTAATAAAAATGGGTGTTAGTGTTATAAAATAGCAGCATGTTAAGTTCCAAGATGAACATTTCTATGTTCAGTTTGGCCTGTCTCACCTGAAAGAGACAATGTTTTGAAGCTAACTAAAACAAAAAAATGGAAAAACTGAAATTGACTTGCTTCCACAGGCTTCAATTTTAGCTCACAAACAAAGGTCTGTTTAAATAAAAGTCAGTGAATGCCTCACGAGGACCTTTCTTCAAAATGTCAGTTCAGAGTAAATGGAAATCATGCCAACGCTCCCTAGGAAAAAAAAAAAATCCTTCCCTTCTTGCCTTTTTCTGGCAGACTCTCAGGTCTTTTAAAGACTAAGTGACACACAAAAGGTATGAATTGTAAAGCAGTGCTGCCTGTTCAATCCCACAGCCTCTTTCATGGCAACAGGTGAATGGCTTACTGATGGCCTAAAGAGTTGGCGTCACCTTTTTGGAAAAGGAGTCATTCGTTAAAATAAACCTCACATACAAATCGACACACCTGCTCCCACGCGCTGCTGATATGTCTAGAAAATGGTGCAAATGCAAAACACAAACACGTTTAAAACAAAATATAGTAAAAAAATGGCATTCGTTACCCAAAGTTTCTTCCAGTACGTTTGTGGTGGCCGTGCTGATTCACAGGAGAGAAAGTGGCATGCTCCCTCACCTGTGTGTTCCAGTTTTCATCGCGTTCATTGATGACTAGTCTTTGCAGCCTTTTCAAAAATAAAATGGACACTTGAGACGCTCCTCAGAACACTTACTGTTTCTCTGTGAGCTTTCTCTTTTGGCCAGTCCTTGATAGAGGACTAAACCAACATGAGCTTGTCGTACAGAGGCGACCAAAGCTGATTGGATCACTTGGTAGTTGCCTACACCTTAAAATGTTTTCCTGCCAAACTATTTTTGGTGTTTGTCACGGCTGAAATACACGGGGCACGGATGCGACGTGTCACGTAGGCGGAGCACAGTGGGGTTTCTTACCTGCTACACAGACTCCATTTTTGTGGCGTGTGGTTGCTGCCAGCTTTACTGAGTTTTGCCAAGTGATAATGCAGTTGGTTATGGAGGGTCTGGAAAGCGTAGGCTAAATCAACTGGTGCTGAAAAAATGAACTGGATCGTTTTCACTACAGGATGAATTGATTCGACTTATTTGAATGTGAAATGTAAAAACACCCACAAGGTTGCCCTGCTGGGTCGCACTGCCTCAGATACAATGAGGTGTGATCATTTTTAAACAGATTGTTTACACAGTTCTGTGTAGTTTTTACCTGTTGGAGGGCCGTGGAGTCATGCATTGGGAAAAAAAAAAGACATGCCATGTAAGAATTAAGATGAGCAGCACGTGGTCAATGTAGCAGCTTCAGTTGATTATAACAGACGCACTTTGCTGCTGCAGACGTGTCACCCTGCGTCCATGCCCCATGTATTTCATCCATTAAAATTTTGTTGGGATAAAACCTTCTTCTCCTCTGTGCCGCCTGAGAGCACCCTTTCAACTTAAAACATAAGAGACTAGCACCAACATGTGCACCTAAATGTGGCTTTACTGTGTCACGTTATACCATGACGTGGTATGTGTATGTACAAGCTCCTAAATCTCAAGCGTTTACTGAGATCTTCTGTGTATAGAATGTAAATATAATACATGATATGCACAATATCATAAGTTTACAGATGAGGAAAATCCTTCCAGTCCTATAGGTATCCTATAATGATTTTGGTACAAAAATGACACCGTTTTCATCTCGCTTGTTGTCTGTGTCACTGCAGACGACACACTTAAGTGACAGAAAAGTCTCAGTGCTCCAGTCTGTCCTCTGGTGATGGGGGAATCCTACAGAACTCTTTTTACAGCCTAATCAAAAAGAAACGGAGGCTAAGAGCTAGATTTGAGGAGTTCGCCGTCTATTCCTCTGCCTCCTGGCTTTGCGGGAAAGGCAGAGAGAAGGCGTGCTCTTGAGCCAGCGCAGCCAGCTCCTTGAGGAACTCACAGAAGATAACGGAACAATAGACGGCGTTCTTCACTCGCAGCGCCTCAGCTTGCTTCTCCAGGCCAGAGGCCCCTCCGCCTCCACCGCCCCTGAACAGAGCGCTGTGCAGTGATTGGCCGCCGTCTCGTACGTGTGCAAGGGCCATCTGAGCAGCGTGTCGAGCCCGGGTCGGGCTGTTGGTGTGGCGAAGGATCAGGTCTCCGAGAGATGGCTTACGACTCTTCACTGGAAAAAGAAAATGTCAAGTTTACAGGTCAGCACAGTGCTAACAAGAATTATTCTGAACTCAGGGTCAATTAAGTAGATCTTTCCAGGGTTTAAAAACTTGGCTGACAGTTCTGTTAAAATAAAGGGCAACTGAGTGGACCTTGAATTTGAGTTTTAAATAATTTGTTACATGAATATTTTACAGTGGAAATAAAGAGCGCGAATTATCAAGTCAAATTTTGAGGAGATACTTTGCCAATATCTTAACAATATGGGTAATGTGTGTAAATTAACTATTTTACACTTCCCACCATCTTGCCAGCGCCCAGATCTCCCTGCTCATCTTTCAGCTCACATATTTTCGATGGCTATCGGGCTGTTGCTCAAACTACAGATTGTACTTCTGCAATTTCATATGCATGCCACTGCAGAAGCAGATCAAGAGAGAGAGACCTGTCTCTGTCTCTCAAACTCAGACCAAACTCCGATCAAATTGTGAAAACTAGCAGTGCTGATCAGATATAAACCGAGATTCTGTGACTGTTGCCTATTTCTCACCTAAAATGTCTTCAGAAAAATACATTTCAGCTTCCTGTTTAACTGTAATTTTATATCATATTGTTTCCTGCTTGAAACAGACAGTCTCGCATTACGTCACCTGCCAGCGGGCGTGTTTATTGGTCTGGTGTGTCATAGTGCATTCTGGTTGTTGTCAATTTTCTACCTCTTGAGCAAAAGCGATTGCCACAAGCCTTACTCTCCATTTTCTCTGGTTATAAAGCACCAATTTCAAAAGTATTTCCGTCTTTCTGCTCCATAGACGACCTAGATTTCTGACAAGACCATCTTTCAACCAGTGAAATACTTGTTTGACTAACTCTCCTCCTGTGTCCATGCTCACCTAATGAATCAGAGCGCCGCAGGGTAGGAACTGCCGCAGGCAAGTCTGACCAGTCCACTTTGCCTCGGGCCACCAGGTACTGCTGAGCTTTCTTCAGCATGGCAGGGAAGTCTTCATGAGAGGCTGCAAATGCCTCAATGCGGTTCTTCACAGAACCTAGAACCTGAGGTGACCCAGAGGGTGGAAAGCTTCATTACTCTTCAAAGGCAGCTTGTATTTGTCGATTACTTGATCAGAAAAAAGAGGGAAGTGCTGTTACTTCGTAATGCCTAACACAGTATTAGTCATTCATTTACAGTATTTTAGAATGTGGACAGAAATGGATAATGAAAAAGAAACTATGCAAATGCGCTGTGGGCCTGAAGCTTTTGGAACAGAAGCTATCACAGAAGTGAGGTGGGCTGGAAGTGGACAACTATGCCTACAGACAGGAGACGAAAAACTGTCACCACTTCAAGTAGAAATATACAGACTGTCTTCTCAAGTATGTGCTAAGCTGCTGGATCAGATACATAATTCACTTCAGTTCAGGAGAGAGCATGGAGAGCATTCCTGGGTCAATATATGACAAGTTTCGTATGGCGCAGTGTACCTGGATCAGTGACTTGATGCTGGGCTGGAAGACCATGTTGGTGTTGAGCAGGAAGGAGCGTAGGAGCGGCTGAGGATAGCAGGCCAGCTGCGCCACGATGCCCGTGAGCAGGATGTTGACGTACAGCGAGTTTTGGAGCATGTTCTCCAGCTTGGCAAACAGAACCACCATGAACGGACCTGCACAGAGAAAGACTGACGGATCATCGGATGTAAAGATGCAACACACAACTGAAGCTCAGCTGCGTGCGAATGAACCAGGGATGAAATCAGAGGTGTCTTTGACAGCTTTTTTAAATAAGAGATGTGGCGTAGAGGCTGATAAGCTGTGAAAAAATAGGCAGCAGGGTGCTTTAACAGCTTGTAGAGGTTAGATGGGGACAGTAAACCTGCCACTGATGCGAGAATAAACTAACTAATCTATTCCTTATGAACTGAGTACTGATTTATTGAAAAACTGTGCTCATACAGAAATGTTATCACAAAGAAGAGCAACTGTTCAGTCTTGGTGTCGATACTGCTGCTAGAGATGTTATTCAGGTGCTTTTGAGGCATGAGGCTGGTACTCAGGAGGACTACCTTTTATAAGTGTAAGCAGCTTAAGCAGTGGGATGATAAAATCTGCCGGTGGCACCACACTCACCACGACTTATTTAAGAGGTCAACGTGTGTGCTGACAGTTGCCAAGATAAGCAGGTAACCCAAGGCAAGCAACACTATCGTCAGCAGCTGTTGTTACTTACAACAAGGGCTGCTCAATATATTGTTTTTTATTGACATCGCAATGTCAAGTTGCGTGATAAACACATTGCGAGAGACAGCAATATTGCACTCAGGCATTATTTGGGTCAGCTGAAAGAGTATAGGTAGTAAACTGCACTGTAAAATAAGGCTGTACCCGACTCAGAATTATGTGAATTGAAACAGATGTTGTCGTTTACTATGCATACAACATTTTTTAAACCTTCATAGTGTTTTAAAGTTTGAATGTGGCTCAGCAGGACATTCAGTGTGACAGTGGCATTCATGTAGTATAGTGAACAAGCTAACTATGGATTGGAAACGCACAACATTTCTTGCCGAAATTAGATATCAAACAAAAGTCAGAGACTGGCTGTAGTTGCAGTAAGCTGTATGAGAAAAGATAATGTTATGTCAAAGCCTTATGGTGCAAAGTTGCTCCTCCCCTGTGCCACTGCATCACGTCTGCAGCTGTCTGTACCAAGGAGTAGTGTGAAAATTAAGAGTTCCCACTCCACAGCAAAATCTGGGGACCAAAACATCCCCAGAAGTACACTAAACAGCACACAGACTAGTGGAGAAAAAAAAAGAAAGGTGACTTGAGGGGTCTCCGACTGACAATTCAAATCTTTCAAGGGGCAGCCCTAGTTTAAAATGATACTATCGAGTTTTTGGTGCCTTTTATTATCCCACCTGAGACTAACCTCCACACCACCTGGTCTGTCATCTGCACCAGCCCCTCACCATCACCCACTGCACAGCGCCACCCTCATGCGCTTAAAGGTTTTTAAGTTATTTATTATTACTGTTATACCTTCAAGAAAATACAACCAATACAGCCATCGCACTTTTTACACTGCCCCTCTGCAAATAACTGTCTAGCAACAGTGTGAGTCTCACCTGTGTATGGCTGACAGGCGGGCTGATTCAGTGGTCTGGCAGGACTGCAGAGGCCCACCACAGGCCCGTCTCCCTTTGCGTCACCTGTCTGCTTCATCTCCAGGGCTGAGGACAGCTGCTGTTCCTCGTCCTGCCGCTCAGAGGACATGGACTCTCTGGCGGTGTCCTCCTGCTGACAGGCTGTTCTGCTGCGCTCCTTCACCCGGTCCTCCAGCTCCCTCAGCTCCTGTGTGAAGGCCTCGATGCTGATGCCCTGACCGTTGGCGTCTCCGGGGAACTGCGGCTCTCCTGGCGCCTGCTCCAGTAGCTCCTGGATGAGACTCTCTACAGATTGTTGCGTCTGATTGGCTTCTGGAAGATCTGAGGATGCACTGTGTGGGTTTGAGGTGTCGCTGGTCAGCAGTTTGGTGTCAGACGTTGGCTGGGTGACAGGGCTCTGAGAGGAGATCTGGTTAGAGCAAAGTGATTTTGCATCACTTATTTCACTGTTGCTAAAAATGGACTGTGGGAGAGCACTGCAGCTTTGGGAGGGACAGGTGACGAGGGATCCATTTTGATTTGCATTTTCATCCAAATACTGCTGCTCCCCCAAGTCTCTCTTTACTTTCTTTACCTCCAGCCCTCTGTCTTGATTGTCTGAGCACCCGTCCCCCTGCCCCATTGTTCCATTGTACATGGCCTGGTAGCTAACAGTGATGGCAGAGGTGGGATTGTGAGGAGCTGGGGACGAGGCGGGGTGGGATGTTGATAAAGGTGTGGCTGAAGAAGAGGAGGAGGGGACGAGATGAGGTACAGGCTTTGGCAGGAGCTCCTCTCTCTGCAGGCTGCGTTTCTTGGAGCGTGGCGTGAGGCTGATGCAGTTGTTTTTGCCGATCGTAACATCCCACTCTCCGCTGTCCCGCTCCGAGCTGCTCCACTCAGATCGTGCCGCAGCCACGATGGCCGCCCTCTGCTGGCCTGGAGGGGTGTTACTGCTTCCTCCCTGCTGGAAAGAGAAGTGCTCAGGGAACATGGCCATGGGAGGGTTGGAGGTAAGGGGAGGTGGGGGTGGAGGGGCCGCATTTGGGGAGGGGTTTTCTCCATCATAGGGCGCCGACCAGTCGCGGCAGGCCCAGGAGCAAAGCTCGATGCCCCGTCGGGCGTCTTTGAGGTACTCCAGGTAACCCGAATCCCAGTCCAGACACTCTGTGCTAGTCTGCTGCTGGTGCATCGGGCTGTCAGGGGACAGAGGGTGGGAGCCGGAAGGACCCGACTGCAGCGACTCCATACTGGTGGGGGTAGAGGGACCCCCTCCTCCTGATCCGCTGCTCTGTTGGCGCATGAAGAAGGCTAAGCGGGATGGGGTGCTGGGTCTGGGTGGGGCTGGAGACTCTGTACTGGGACTATTCAGTACTGCAGGATGACAAAATACAGTCGCAAACACTGATTAATTCACATGCTGTCATGATTTACTGGCTTTAGATGATTAAAAAACATAAAAAACTGGAGCCCAGCAGATGTCCTGAGGGGAAAAGTGCACTTAAATTGATATTTTTGCTCTTGAATTATTAATTTCTGCCACCCAACAGATTAAGAAGTGTTCACATATCCAAACTGCATGTAATGATTACAAACAGAGTGAATTGTTTACTTGATTTGTTGCTCACCTTTACCCCAGAATGCACCATCCTCGTCCCGCTCAGCAGAGGACGCTGGGTTCAGTCGACAGCACTCTGGGATCAGAGATAGGAACTTGTCTGCCGACTTTCCGTACAGGTCAGTCTCCCTGATGGCACGACGCTGACTCAGCATTACATGGGTACAGGGCAGTAGATACCTGGGAGCAAACACACACACACACACACACACACACACACACACAATTTAAAAATTCACTCATTTTAAATCCCGCAATGTTGACTATTCTATCATGCTGTGACGCTTGGCAGTTACAATCATACTGGTTATAAAGTACCAAGAAATACAAAGTTGTCAGCAGCAGAACGAGTTGTTTCAGTCCTGGAGACAAAAAGGCAAAGCTGGCCTTGGAAGTTCACAAAATGCTTAAAAAATATAAAAATGTGAGCACAGCAGGTTCCCTATCTGTGACTGGTGGCAGAGGAAAACAAAACCATCTCCTTGTATGATTTTTCCAACAGTCTAAAAGGACACACTGGTGTGTTGCTTTGCCAATATGTTAATGGTCTTCACAGAAAAATAAAATCGCTCATTCAAAGGACCCAATTAGTTAATTTGAAAACAGATGAAGGACAGACATACAAGACAGAAAGTGTCTTTGTGACACACAAACTAACCTTCAGTTAACCTGAATAGTGTGTTTGTGAGTATGGAGGAAAATATTTACTACTCAATTAATATTTTGCATTTTAGACAAGCCTATTAAAAATATAACACTTTGGAAGACATGCTGAGATGTGAAGACAAACCTGAGAATGAGCTGCAGCATGACGTCTTCACAGTTCAGAGACAGAAGAGTCCTGAAGAGACTCAGTGATACCATGCAGAGCTGCAACACACACACAGATACGGAAACTAGTTAGAAAACTGTGATCTGGAGAGACGGTATACACGAAAGCCAATTTGCACATGATAAAGTCAAGAAGATGGATTTTTTTTAAAAATTAAATAACCAGCAGTGTATTACACCAATTATACATAACTTAAGGGTAAAGTCCACACTTAACGATTCATCAAAACTGCCTCAGATGCAGGTGCGTTGGAAAATATCAGTCAAGTCTTTGAACAGAACACTCTTGTAGTTTGACCTAAGGTGACCCTAAAGTAGGATTCCTACAGCTTAAGACCTCTTAATGCCACTTGAAATGAAATTTAAGACCAGTTTTACTATAAACAAAAATACTTGGGGGTTAGGGACAATTTTGCCCAATTATTTATTTTGCTATAAAACATGACCTTTTCCATTCATTCATAAAATCCCTCTTCATATGTCTTCATGTTTTTAAGACTTCTGAAAAATTGATTTAAGAAATGAAGGCCTTATTTTTAGATTGAACTCAATGCCTTTTAAGGGGCTTTACACATGCCACATTTTTTGCACCCTAAATTTCAGTGTTTTCAGTGCAGATGCGCAGCAGGAATGCTCAAACGTCAGAGTGACGCCTGCAGCCTGAGAAACCAAGTACAACTTTTGGAACGCAACAGCACGCACCACATGTCATCGGATGAGGAACAACTAAGACTTATTAAGGATCCGCGGGAACCCTGTAAGTTGTGTTCTAACTAGGCTACGTTTGAACTTGTGTATAGTTGGTGCAACGTAGTACTCAGCCTTATTTTTGTTATTTTTCCACAGTCTACTACCCTGGAAATCCAGAGTTCTCACGAGAGCACAATTTGAATTTGCTCAGCGAGTCACTCTGGCAATCAGTAATGATGCTCATTACCTATGCCCATGAAACCGAGCTGCACCAATCACATCGGTGTCTCTGATATAGGCGGGCCAGAGGCGAGCTAAACAGATGACAACAGCGCAGCGACGACTTAGTCCGGAATCAGTCAGTAAACATTGCAAGATGGCTACGGATGAACACCAGTTGTTTGAAACAGCTTTGGCCGCTACAATGAACGAGTTAGACTTGGCTTTTTCTCTAAAAGAGGAACAGAAGACGGCGCTCGAATCTTTCCTTTGCAAGAAGGATGTTTTTGCTGTTTTGCCGACCAGATACGGCAAGAGTCTAATCTACCAGTTAGCTTCGCTGGTAGCTAAGCGTATACGTCACCCCGTGTATTGTTCTGATTGGTCGTAGTGTTATCCAATTGCGTGCAGTGATATTTACAAATGCATGCTTGGTGTCGCCCCTCGAGTTGGGCCATTTGCATTACTCATGGCAAGACCCTAAATCTTTCTAGATTTGGGTCTGGATTTCCAGGCTAACAATCTACCAAAAATGTGACAAATTTAATTTTTCCTCTCATTCTCCAGGTGTGTTCCTGTATTAAAACAGTGCCAAACAATCTTCCAGGACGTGGCAATCCTGTGCTCGGTAGCTTTGTCATATTAAAATGTTACCATGTGAGTGAGTGACGGCCAAATTTACAAAAATAAGACTGAAATTGTAAAAAAAACAACACAGCTTTCCTTTAAAACTGAAATCCTATTTTCTGTTTTGTTTCCATTGTTGCCCTCAACAGCAGTAAGGGTTGTCTCTCAGCAACTGAAATTTAAGATTATTTACACTCATTTCACAATTGATTGTTTTCCGAACCACAAACAACACAACACAATACATCAACCGATAGATGCAGCAGACTTAATGACATTTACTCTTCTTGTTTGTTCTGGAAAAAACAGATACTTGTGTATTCTGCCGGATTCACTTTCAATCAATTTTTGTTCTCAGCCCACGCACCACCCACACAACCGAGTTCATACAATGGCCTTGAGGCTCTATCACACGAACACACATATATTTTTATACCCTTGAATTGCTGCTGATGCGTGTGAGCAGCGTGTCCAGGATGGTGTCGTTGTCGTGGCGATGCAGCAGGATGAAGCGCAGGAAGGTTTTAAGGAGGGATGTCTCCGACACACTGCGCAGGAAAAGGTCCAGGTAGGCGGTGCTGGCAATCATCTCGTCCACCAACGACTACAAACACACACATGGAAATATATATCAAAACTGCAAAAGAGGACAGTGAGACAACTGTCCTGTGAATAAGAAGTCTAAGATTAAAAACAGGCGATGAGATCATTTCTTCAAATATTGTGAGACCCTTTTTTTTTTTTTTTTTGCTTTGACTCACACTCTGACTCATCTGTGGAAGAAAGTCCCGCAAACAAGTTCACACAATTGTTCTTTTGCTTATTCACTTCAGACACAATAAAAATGTCTTCCAGTAAGTGAAGAGGAGCCAAAAACAAGTGGTCAGTTTCCATCTGTGCGGTCCAACAATCGTGCTTTTCTTTGAGGGTAAGTTTACCCAAATTACTAAAAACTTTATTTTACAACTTTCCCAGATATCCTTAAAGGAATCTGGCCTTGGCAAAGCTTTGAGTTTGTGGTGCTCAAAGCTTTGTGAAAAAGAACCGTGGAAACTTTGCAAACTGGGCCCTGTTGTTCAGAAGTATTCTGATGGATTTAACGGCTTGGATAAAACCTCTAAAATGGGTTGTTCAAAACAAACAACAAAGGATTCTGAAATCAGATTAGATCAAAAAATTCAGTTTTGGGTTTGATCTGTATCAAACCATCAGTATGTGGTGTCCAAAACTTTTTCAATAGGATTGAGACTCCTTTGATCCAAAAAAAGGAAATCAGGATTATCCTGATCCCAACAGAAAGCTGGATTCGGGGATGATATCAGGACCAAAAAACACCTTTTAAATTGGTCAAATATAAAAGATTTTGTCACACAAATTACAATGAAACAGTCAAATACAGTTTCAAACAACTACATATTCCATGCTGTTCTCTGTCTCTTTAATTAAAAACATTTAAAGTGACCCCATATTGTATTCTGCCTGTTGTTGTTCACACAGCTAGGAGCCTACATTGTGACTTGTAGTCCCATTTAGACCACTGCTTATCTGGATTTGGTATCTTGAGAAGTTTGTATCTGGATCAGGGTGATCCACTCCAATATTGCTTTGAAAAACTGGCACCAAACTAAGATGGACAAGCTGATCCTGAATAGTAAAACGTGAGATTCTCAAATCTGGATCACTCTGATTCAGATTCATTTTTTCTTTAAACAGCTGGGCTCAGGTGATTCGGACAGTCTGTGATTATCAGAAATAATGCTAATCTTCTATCCCCTTCCTACCTTATGCAGTGCGGGGCCCATGACGGGTACGAGGAAGCCGTTGTGGAGGTAGTCCAAGAGCTGGCAGCGGACCAGGGGATGAGCGACCTGCACCACAGCGTTGCAGAACTCCAGCGAGTTCATGAACAGCACGAGCGACGACACGCCCATCCAGTCCTCCCGACGCAGGGCATGCCAGTCATCTCCCCGAACCTCAATCTTCCTGGGCAGCGAGGAGTAGAGGGCACTGAGGCCTGTCGCCAACACCTGAGAGGAGACAGAGAGGCTTCAGGTAAGACAGCTGTGGGTCAGAAGGTGACTGAGGTGCTGGACAGCCCTCAGGCACAAATGTGTCTCTCTGTATCCTTACAGCACCGTGTCTTTTTTGCAGGTTCTCACAGACACGTTAGTTGATTTTTTTTTTAACAGGACTCAGGGCTCATGTGTACAGTCGTGCTCATACAATTTGAGCTGTGGGACTCAAGCAATTCGTACTTTTCAACACTCTCAGTGCAAGGACTAACAACTAACACTGTGATGTGAAAAGAGGACACTGACGCACTGAGCGCACAGACAGACAAGAACACAGCGCTACAGCAGCACTTAAAAGTTCCCCTCCCAGCCCTGAATTTAACTGCTGGGAGCTGACTCAGGGATCATCAATGTACTACTGTTTAAATAACACAAAACCAATGTCTTTTTCAACACCTTCATGCTCTCTTGCCAATATAATATTTTAATAGAAAATAATGGCAGTTTTTTTCAATAACTTGCCAATATTTGTCAAAATTATAATAAAACAATTTACTAACTTAGTCTCATGTAGCACACCTTTCTTTTTAGATTATTAATGTGTAAGTTATTTATTTTATATTAATATTTTGAAATAAAATAAAGGCATTTTTTTTTTAAAAAACATCCATGTAATGTGTCCCAGTGACTCAAATTTAATATCAAAATGTTTCACTACAAAGGACACCCCTTGTCATATGGGATTTTAGTGATTCTTCTATAAATATATTAAATATTATATTAATTGAAAAAAAAAAAGTCCTGATTTTTTTCAATTACTAAAAAAAATTGGTGCATGAAATTAAAAACAACAACAGTATTTTAAGCCCTGTGGGGGATAAAAATAACTCTGATTACAAACGAGAGCTGAAACAGAAGGACAATTACTGATGAGCAGACTGACGGAAAATTAATTGGCACCCATTTGATAATTGACGAATCGCTTCACTCAATTTTCAACTAAAATATTTTTGGTTTCGGACTGTGTGTCTGACGAAGAAAGTTATTTTAAGATTTCATTTTGGGCTTTGAGAACACACACCACAGCATATATCACTTCATCGAGAAAATAATCATCTTAGTAAATCACAGATCTGTAATAAATCCTTCAGTCTGCAAACAGAACAATAACTCCTGTTATAATCCCAGAGATGGCGTGTTTATACTGTACACAACACTTGGCAGTGTTCTCTTGTATCTTGGCTGAAACACATCATATTTCCATAACAGCACTAATGACCCTTCGGATATGTACAACAGCTCACCTACCTATTGCTGTGTTGAGAGGGGAGCTTGATAAGCAAGATGAATTCACTGTATATAAAGGCATTTAGGAAAAGCCCTCATGTAACTTGGTGTTTTGACAACAGCTGATACATTTACCTGTTACAAAATACATTGGAGAAACCTCAATCCTTTTGTCTGACTCAGCAAGTGCAAACAATTCATTGATCAAAATGAATCAAAAGGAGCCACGCACTGAGGTTGTAGGATGTGTTTGTAACAGTACCACTTACAGTACCACACAGTAAAGGGCTGATACAGCTGTCACAGAATCTGTCGCTACATCCAAAAATGTCAAACAAAGCTGACTAGGATATGTGAGCGTGCACAGACAGAAAATAGTGAGACTGAATGGAGAGGAGCATTTGCTCCTTGATGCCACCTCCACTGGTACTTCTAGCCTGTAAGTAGGTCAGACTGAAGCTGCTGGAAGGAGGGCATGCACAGAGTAGCTGAGGCAGCTCTTTAACAGCAGAGTGAACAGGCAGAGGAAAAGATAAGAACACTGACCACAGCATTAAAATATGATATACATCACGCAACACCGTTGACGCCCATAAAGCAGTTTTGAAGTTGAAATGCAGCTCAGTTGCTGTCACTTGGGACCAGATTTCTAGTCTGTTGATATTCAGAATGATGGTCCTGGTGTTCAAATTAAATCCAGCAAGTCAGTCCACTCTAATTAAGCAGACATTTGTAAGTGCAATCAGCAAATATGGCTCTTTATTAACACCTAGTGGCAGCTGGAAGAAACTACAATAACACAGGAAGACAGCTTCTTGTTCTTCCTCCTCACAATCCTCATTTCATGTTCTAAATAATCATGATTCATTTAAAATGTGATCACGAATTGATAAAGGATAATTTATGTTTTCTTCTACATTGTTGAAGTCGAGTTTCAGTTAATTTGTTGATTAGACATCCTGGTAGTTTAGACTTTGGTTTACACAAAGCAACAGCAGCATTGAGGAGTGTGTGTGACACGGAGGATTTATCGATTTATCCGTTACCGTTGGGTGAGCTGGGTATTTTATTTTAAGAGGACCAGAGGAAGCCATTGTAGTCCAGATAAAGCTGATAGGATGTAGATAAGGACCAACGGTCTGTCAGAGTGCAGAGTCACGTCCTTCCCCTTCCACCATCACACACCATCACCGATGCATCGGAATTACACAGCACACACACGCGCACACACATTCACACACAACTCTTTCTAAAAGCTGTGTCAAAAGGCAAGCCATGATCCCACATTATAAGTGGTCCTCAACTCTCCCATCATTCAAGAGTACTGTAGGTCATATTCATAGCATGGGAATGTGAACTACGGTTGGGTCAGCTAAGAGTGGAATAAAAAGGCTTTAGACTGTGTATATATAACATAGAATAACATAGAAGAAAATTAAAAACTACATGTTTCTACATTTTCAAGTGTTTCTCCTTAAACGGAACTCGGTGAAATTTTTTTACTTAGTGGATAAACTTGATATTCATAAACCATCAAACCCACATGATCGGATCGCTGCCCTACTTTTGGGATTATTAACAATTGAACAAGATCATTAATGAATGCTTGAATATGAGTAGAGGCTTTCTATCTCGCTGGCTGTCTAAAGGGTTTGGGTTAAAGTTAGATTTGAAGGTTCAACTATCAACAGTATGCCAAAATAGTGACACCCAAACCAGGTGGGAAATAAGGTTGCAATAATAAATGACAAGTTGTGCCGTTTGTCTTAAAAAAGAAAAATAGACAACAACCTTGAACCTCATCACTGTGACCATGGTAAAGTAGAATCATCCTTAAACTTAACTTCCAAGTTCAGAAAATGACTGAATATACTATACACTACAGTTACAGCCTGATATCACAGACAATATCTTAAACCCAGCACAAGGCTGGCTGCTAACTGTTATTGCTAGTTTCAGACTGACGCAGTTGTCCTTTTCACAGCCAGCGCCCATGTTGTGTAAGCAGCAAATGTACTTGCGCCCATCTGTTTGCCCACAGGTGTGTAGGTCTTAAAATGAGGTGTGGTCAGGCACATTGTTGGTGTGTTGCTATTCTGACACAGCAGAAAGTGACTGCACTATTGACCAACAGAGATCTGGTCAGTATGACACGGTATTTTCCTGCTATTAAAAGGGCTCATTATTTAGATAGTAAGATGCGCCAACAAAGGCGGGTTCACAAACTCTGCTTGTTACACATTCAGGGACAAGCAGATGGGTTGCAGCTGGGCGAAACAGTACATCATTATTGAGGACGAATGACATTCTCTAAATTGTGAACATAGCAGAGAGCAGAGAAGAGCTGCTGTACGACTCCCAATTACGAGAGATGCTATTCGCATTTACACTTAAGGAGCTGCATACCTCTATTGATTATTTAGAAGCTGGAGGTTTAGTTCTGTTTCCTCTGTCAAATATACAACTACAGTTTTTAGTTTTGCTGCTTAAATGTCCCACGATATTTTGCTGTAGTGACATAACTGCTCCTACTGTATTACTCTACATAGAAAACTGTATGATTTTCCAATTTGCTGAATCCACCATGTAAATAGCAATGCGCCAGGATAACACTCACAAAACCAACCAATGATTAATTGAGGGACCCTTGTGCCTTAATGTGCACCCAGATTCTGAACCATTTAGCTGGCAAAATAGAGTTGGACACTCCCTAAATGCACTTGTGCCATGCGCTTTAGGTCATGAGCTACAGATCCCATATGTCAACAGTCAGACCCAGAAAACCAACAGATGTGAGTTAGAGTGATAAAAATCCCCCCAAAAACCTTAACACATAACAAAATGTAAGAAACCTCAGGACAGGAAGAAAACCTGCATAAGCACATGAGACAGACGCAGGTCCAAATTCAGTACCATCTGTAACCACATCCTCTACCAAAACCCCCTTCAACGTCTAAAACACAACATGTCCCACGATGACATAGTTTTCATGGGCACCATCACTCACCGGGCAGAAGTAGGAGTTCTCAGCGATGTAACGTGCCACGGCCTCGTTGCTTGCCGAGGCCGCCATGACCAGCAGCAGCGCGTCTCGGGCCTGCTGCCCGATGGCTCCGTCTCGGTGGATGAATGGCACGAGGAGAGAGAAGATGAGGAGATTGGTGGAGCCCTGCTGAGCCGGTGCCGCCCGGAACAACATCTCCAGAACCACAGGCTGCCGGGCCATGGACACACAGACCTGGAGGGGAGTTACAGAAATACAAGACAGGATATTAAACATAAACATAGGGCACACATTTCCATTGCTGAGCCAAAGTTGAGTCTTTTCCACTCTGGGCGAGTTGGTTTTAACAGTCAGGAGATAAAACTCCTAGAATGAAGTGTTTAATCACTCTAATAGGTTGCCGTCTGATCTCGGGGATACTTTTCATTTCCTTAAAAGAATAATTTTACACAAGTTTAATTTTAAGACAGAAACCGGGAAAAAGAAAAACTGTCCAAAACTGACATGCAGACAGTAAAACTGTGTGGTGTGCAGTGAAAGAGAATTATTCCATAATTCAGGTAATGACATTTTAGTGCAGAGCTCATATAAAATTAACAACTTATCTACCATTTCATCCAAATTTAACACGTTCCTTCCTTTTTCCTTTTATATGCATACTGCAGCTAAATTAATAAGGTAAACTTCCTGCTGTGAAAACGTCCCTCTGAAGTGTGCTACTGGAATTTCTGGAGTTGCCTAGCGACACGACTCAAATCAAAGTCAAGCTCCTTTCTGACTGACAAGACAAAAAAATCTGTGTAATGTTGATCTAATCAGATAACTGTACAAATTCGAGAAGTCTACAGACTGCAGGTGACTGTACCTGGTTGAGCAGCAGCACCAGGCTGTTTTCCAGAGCTGAAGGACACCCAAGTTCTGGGTCGGCGCAGGCTCCCAGCAGCCTCAGCAGAGGGTGGAGGACAGCTGTGTGCTGCAGCAGAGGCTGCTGGGACTGGCCGATGAGCATCTCAAACAGCTTGAGCAGCGCCCCCTGGCTGTCTGGGTCCAGGCCGCGACGGAGGTGCCACTGAACCAGGCACTCCAGAATGTTCTCGGTGACCACCAGCTCCAGTATGGGGCCCATGGGTGCCACGCCTGCGCCACCCTCCGGGCTCTCTGCAGGCCGCTCCTCTGCCAGTAGACATAACATCTGGTCGGTGTGATTCCTCACTGCTGTCAGGTCATCGCTGGAGGATGAAGGCTCGTGCTGCTCCAGCACCCAAGAGACCTGGATGGAAGGGATAGTGTTTTCATGTAGTGTTTAACTCTTAACACTCATGTCCTTGTATGAGGGGTTAAAAAGTTACAAAGGTGTGTGTCAGGCTTAATCGGGTTGGTGCAGAGAATCAAAGCTCAACCACCGACAGGCATTTCAGCTCATCTCTGAATGAGTTTGGAATTCAGTATGCATTCAACAGCGGGGTTATTGGACTGGTTGATTAATCTGGATGTTTTGACATGTCACAGTCGGAAATGCGAAGGTGTAAATAATGGCAGGATTCCACTTAGCTGCTTCAGTTTCAGGGTATCCTTTGTGGCTTACTGTTACATTGGCTGCGTTCAAAACCACTTCATTTACTGTCTGACATTTTATTCAAGAGTCAAGTGTCTGAGTGTGAAATCTATACTCTATGTAGTGCCCTCAGACATTCAAACAGTGGCAGGAAGAAATGATTTCCATGGCATGTGCACTATTTTTGCTAACATACCCATAATGCAATGTGAAAATTACAGTTGTGCCATACTCCACCTGTCAGAGATGACCCCAAAATGATGATTCATAATCTCACTTTAATGCTCACTATTGAGTAAACTCATAAGTGTTTGTTCTATAGCGAGTATGCTTGGGTGGTATCCAGGTATTACAGTATACCGGGGTATTTAGAAATCCCAAAAGGCATGATTTTCACTATTGTCAAAAACACAGATGCTCCTCTTTCTGTTAAACCGAAACGGAGATGCTGTCTTGAGGTGTTGTAGTGCACAGCACCTGCCAACAGAGGTCAGTCTCTACTGGTGGACCAGGTAGCTGAGCTTAGAAAGATGGCAACTGCAAGTGGTGGGCATAATGTTACAGGACAGGGTCAAAGAAAAAAAAAGTACCCCCATTCGGAGTATTATCACGAGATCACTTCAAACTTCAAAAGCAGTTAATTAGCCACATGATTTTATTCAATATGTCATCTCTGTTCAGCCCACTGATGTGTCGGTATCTGCTGTGGCAACACAAATGCCGTCATATACCGTACACCCTGGTGAAATGTCAGGAAGGTATGCATATAGCAATACTTCCCAAGCCTGATAGGGAGGAGTGAATGAGTGAATAAGGGGGAGTGATTTCTGACACAGTGTCATAGCAAACTGGGCCTCGTGCCTAACGCAGCCATTGCTAATGTTAATAGTGACACCTGTGTTTTCCTTCCATGACAAGTCAAAATGGCTGCTGTGAAGACAGCCTGTTGTCATGGAGGTTGAATATGATGCACTGTCACATCTGAAAATATTTACTTCTTTTAATGTGCAGAAGATGTGTTAAATAGGTTTTATATGAACATTTACTGTTAAAATAATTGTATGTAATCTACTAAAATCTAAAATCAGTAAAATAAAAGTAACTCCTGGAACTGCAACACGTATTTCTTGAAGATAAAATGTAACAAAGCTGTAACTGTGGTGTAAAATTTGAACTGACAATTGAGAGGTTTCCCAACATGTATCAGTCAGCATGACTGCTGCAGATCTGTGAGCAGCGTGTGCAGATAAGAGATGTTCTTCTTTGTCTTTCAGCAGCTTGTGGTAAATGTATGAGTTGGAAGTCAGAACCAATTCTGTGAAAGTTGCACAACACATTTGTTTTTTATAAAAACACACTTTCCCACAAAATCACTCGAGATGTAAACCTCTACCCTCGTCTTGAAAACTCTAAAAACACGGAGAATTGATATTGTAGACAATTGTCAGGTGGCTTCAGGTCTCCCTAACCCCAACTTGTGTATGTTATGTACAGTCTAAGAGCCGTGTAGCGGCATGTAGGAGCACTTTAACATGCTGCAATACAGCTGCAACATATCCACCTATTATACTCCCGTCTGCTTCCTCTATAATGGACTTCTCCTTGATCATTTAGCAAGCCTCGATGCAAAATGCAGAATGTCTAGACAGAGTTCAATTGCAGAGCTTACACACACACACACACACACACACACACACACACACACACACACACACACACACACACACAATCATGAGCCTCCCACAACAAACCAATAAGTATCACTCAGATGTCTAATACTGCCTCCAAGAAAACTCTGGTCAGGCAGTGGCAAGGTTCTGTAACCTATAAAAGGCTCAGTCAGTGATTGGACAGAAGCCAGTCACACTGTTAAAGTACACACACTGACCACTCTCATCAGCAGCACTGGCACAGCCAACTGAACGTGTGAACATCCACACTTGCTGTCAGATAATCATTCACTGAGTCAAAGTAGGAGCCTTGACTTTATAACTGATCTCACCATCGTTTACTGTTAACAACAAGTGAACATTTACTTTGTGTCTGTGCTGCTCCACACAGAACATGAGAAGGTTCTGTCAACCACTGCTAAGTAACGTACTGACAGTGCAGGGTGTAACCCTAATAATAATAATTGTAAACAGAATATCTTTGGATTGTTGGTTGAAGGAAACAAGCAATTTTAAGAGGTCACATTGAACTCTGGGATCTGGGATAGATTAAATGGTTATTTAAAACAGTAAAATAATGTTAGTTGCAGCCCTAAACAGGTTACATAAGAGGTTTTCAAAGTCTGACACTGTGGACGTGTCTGTTTCTCAACATCAGATGTGGTATCACCACCACCGGAAAGTGTCGCACTGAATCTAATCTGTTTATCATGTCTGTGTTTTCAGATGTAACTGAGTTATGACACAAAGGAGGAGGAGTGAGAAGTGGACGACTCACCCAGAGGAGGTACGCCTCACAGTTTGAAAAAATCTAAATTAAATGGACATTCTGTTCGTAGTAACCTTAGTGTTATGAAAAAAATCCACTCAAGGCAGCACTTCAGTTCGGCATCTGGTCTATTTTTCACGCGAGCCGCGAGCGCTTCTGTCAAGCTGGATCGAGCAGATCGTACCAAACAGGAAGTCGGACACAGAAAAGACGAGAGAATCTGGCCAATTTTCAAAATAAAATAACAACAGCACGCACTGTGGAACGTGTGGAGAAAATACCATGTTTATAATTTAAAAAAACACAACAGTGCATAACCGAACACATTTTTCTATACCATAATCACTTCATTACAATTTTAATTTTGTGTCACCGAGCCTACAGGCATAACGCCCTGGACACACCGGACGCGTTAGTGCCATCCGGTGTGTCCAGGGTGAAGCCTAATGGCACGGGTGTGTGGATGTCTGTTCATCTTTTCCGTTCATGTTCTATTAATGCACACTTTATAACTTGCTTGTTGGATTTATTAAAAACGAACGAATGAAAACTAAATGTCTTTGAATATCTTTATTATCATTTAAAAACGAAAATTAAAATGACCGGCAAAAATAGATTATGACCGGATTTTTATGACCCTGATTTTAACATATTTTTACTTCACCAAAAATTCAGTTTTACAAGATTACATTTGAACACATCATAAGAAAATTATAATTTACCTTCGCCCAACGGTTATTTCTACTGAATAGCGCCTGAATGCATAAGGGGCTGTAGACATGTTTTTTGCACCTTCAGATTCATTGTTTTCAATGTAGATGTGCAGCAGGTGCGATCAAACACCAGAGCAACACCGTCATGATAAATATGGAAAAGTTGATCATTTTGTTGCAGGGCTACCCAGAGCACTACATCTGTTACACAGACAATAGGCCTACACCCTTATAACAGTGCCAGGAAGAAGATCAGCTCAGCACTCAGTATTTCAGGTACATAGGCTCTGGTACAGTACAATGTTCTTGAAAGCTGACACAAAAAAGGCACAAGAATAGCGCCCAGTACCCGACCTTGTGTTTTCAAGGTGGTTTAAGACATGGCATGTGTACAGGCCCTAATACAGTAACTTCATGCAACCTCTGTCAGTTGTTAGTTGCGGCCACCAGCTGCTAACGGCTAACAGCTAGCGTTAACTAGCTCTCATCCTGCTGAGTTCAACACAGATTCACTGTTCACACTGCAGCGGTTTCAGGGAAAAATAGAGTGCATGCCCTGGCACGCCAATAGTGGGTTTACTGCGTCCTTTCATCTGGTCACCTTCCCAGGGAAGATCTCCGTTTAACCACAAACATTTTTGCTATTGTCCCTGGGACATCAAGGCACTGTCAGTCTCGAGCTCTGTTTTTTAGCCTGCCCAAAACTGATGCCAAACAATGGACAAACATCAGCCACTGCCATCGGTGAGTGTCATTTTATGTGCCAATAGGACGCTGGCAGTCAACAAGGAGAATATCTGCTGATAATGATGTTCGAGCCGATAAATCGGTGCATCCCTACTTTTACAGTAAAGGTGAGTATAGCAAATATGCTGTATTACTGTATGTATGTATTACTCAGCAAAACTACTATCCAGGTTGAGGCCACAAAGTGTACAATACATTCATCCAAACAAAATATTTACTGTCATCAAAATTCAAGTAACAAGGCGTGTCTCCAGCTCACCTGTCTCCAGTGGTTCTCAAACACCATGAGGCATGTCTCTGGGTCAGCAGTGCAGGGGCTGGAGGGGGCGGCACTCCGGCCGGACCGGCTCCCTGGACCCCGTGGGTTCAACCTGCTCAACCAGCTCATGCTGGACTCAGTGAGAGGCAGGTCACGGGAACTCAAAGACGAGAGAGGAAGTTCCAGTAAAAAAAAAAACAGAAAAAAAAAAACAGAAAAAAAAGTTGGAGTTTTGAAGCAACCGAGGGCAAAAAGAAATTAAGAGGGAAGAAAAGGAAAAGATGTGGGAGGGAGGAGGTGGAGGAGGATGAGGAGGGAGAGGGGGGAGAAGAGGGGGAGCAAGGGGAGGGGAAAGTGTATCCGAATAGAGAGAAGGAGGGGAAGGAGGTCAGCTGAAAATGTGCTGTCACTGCCAGTCAGTGTACATCGAGGAAAAAGCCCACTGCTGCTGCGTTAGAATCTGTGTGACCCTGTCCGCCCTGTAGACCCTGTCATCCAGTCTGAAGCCAACTCCACTCCATAGCCAGTCAGGACGGCCACTCTGCGCTGTGGACACAAACACAACACAATATATTAACATGTAAACCAAAAAACAAATGTCACATATTTTCACGACCTTTTAAAACTTTATTTTAAAGCTACAAAATATAAATATGCAGTTGTCTTTTCTCACGTGTATATATCTTGAATATCTTTATGCATTTATGTTAGTTTGGCTCTGAGAATGTAACGTGCTTAATAGCCTTTACATAATTAATCACATTCTCCAATAACCAAGTCATACTTTGCCACTCATATGTGTGGCCATTATGAACACTGCACAATATTCTTTAGGAAAATATATCTGATTATTACAACAGCATTTACATTGGGTGAACACAATCGCATAAAATAATATTAATTTTAAGAACAGGATTTCTGGTGCTGACTAGCAAGTGCTGGAATAATTAATCATGTGGTCAACTCATCGGGTGCATCCCTGGCTTGCACAATAAAATGTCGTCTCTTTTAGCCACATGAGAAAAACAAACAGTCATAGATTCCGGTTTTCTCAAAACTTAACAAGGAACATTTCTTCAGATGAAATAACCACCAGTGTTTCAGCTGATCCAGTGAATCATAAGTCAATGAAGACACAAAGAAAACTGAATTCAGTATTTTCAAAAGGCAGTCCTACTTATTCATTCAGTAATATATCATTCGTGCTGAAGAGCATCTGTATTTTTTTCTGTGTTTTCCCAAACAAACATAAGTCAGCCTCTACAGTATGTTGTTGCCAGGGAAACCATTCAGTCCTCCTGTGGAAAAGCTACAGCCAGTCCACCTTCTGCTTAACATGGGAGTAGCTGTCTGTCCTGAATTATGGATGCAAATGTAAAGCGTCGTCCTTGCGTTGACGTTAACGGGAGATTAATCACTGAAGATCATAAAAATACAACATCCATGCTTTTCTTCTGTCACTTTTTTGTCCCACAAACATATTAAAATAAGTATTTAAATAGAAAACATGGCCGCCCACTCAAAATTGCAGCTCCTGCTCCAACCAACAAACTGGTCAAAAAACAAGTGAGGTTAAAGAAAACATTTTTCACTGCTCTACATGCACGGTGCCTAAAAAGAAAAGTAATCCATACTTAAAATGTTGCTAACAAACTCTGATATCACATGTAAACATAAAACAGGCTGCCATGATCTCGTGACAACAGATTTAAGTCTTATGAGAAAATTTACAAGACCAGAGCAGAGTTGTGTGTAAAGTGAGCTCTGCACCTTGGTTGGTAAAACATCTGGTTGATCAGTTTTGCATATTATTGCACAGGAGCAAAGATTAAAAAGAAAGGAAGCCATCACACTGATGAAGCGTTGCAGGCAACAGGCGCTCACTTCTATTTGGGCACACTCAAACCTCCAACATGTTATTTTAATCAGTGACAACTTGACAGCAAACACCTGCATGGAGCTAATGTCCAGGGGATGCACAAACCCTCTTGCTCCACCTTTGCACATTGCCAGTTACTGTATTCTTGATCCAATGATCATTATTAACATCCCTAAACCCTTTATGTTAATGCTCTGATGACTCATCCAATAGAGAGGTGCATTTGTGTTTAAATGCATTTAAACAACATGGTTACTGTCGTCTTTCTTAAAGAGAAATTAAATGAGTATCAAATATTCTTAGGCTGATAAACATTCAGACTGTTTCCATAATATACTGAAGCTAAACACACTAATACCTCTATCACATCCTAAAAGCTCCCAAAATATCTGCCAGAAGTTGTGTATTTAGTGATTTATTGTGAGGATTATTTGGAAAGGACTGAACAGATGGATCAACAGAGGAGAAGTGGATTATGCTGTAAGAGTGGTTTTGATGTTTTGATGCCTTTTTATGCTGTGACCCTCCATCTGATACCTCCCCTTTGAGCCAGCAGGCCTATTTGTTACTTAAAAGAAAAGGTTTTTCCTGGAGTATTCCTATCAGAGAAACTCATTTATCAAAGTTAGATTTCTGCTGGAGAAACCTGATTTCACTTTAATTCAGTATTGTGTTTAGTTCAAAGTTAATGTCACAAGCATTGGTTAACGGAGCTTGAAAGATGTTTCTGTGAATGTGTTTGCTTTCATCTCCAAAGTGTTTGAATAAAAGATCATTCGTAAAACCACTACGGTTGGTCTAGCTGGGTTCAAAAGGGGCAAAGGGACAGTCCGGTATTTTTCAACTTGGGCCTTACTTTCCCATGTTTTGTATCCAGGTGACTAATGGGAACAAGAATTTTTGAAACTGGTCCAGTACTGAGTGAGAGGACTGCAGGTTGGGGCTGGTCAGTCCTTCGGCAATTCTCTCGTAAGTCGGCCTGTTCTTCACCGTTCCTGTCATCTGATGGTTAATGGCCTCTTCGTTTGCGAGGACAAGGAGGGCGCGCAATTCCTTGTCTCCCCAGTTGCTCATCTTTACAGTGTCTGTCAGGTTTGCGTTTCCCTCTTGCTACTAGCTGCTTGCTAATTCCTGCTATCAGCTGTTTCCTGTTTATCCACCGCCAATGGGTCGCGCATGCGGCGTCATCAACAGCTCCTCCCACAAGTCTTCAACAGCCCCTCCCGTTGCGGAAGGCCGCCTCGGTCTTTTTAAACTAAAAGGGTTCCGCCGATATGACTACCCTATGAGGCGGAAAACACCTCGGATCAACTCACCAATCCGGCTCTGTGTGTCTAAACGCTCACAGCTTGCTGGCAAAACGGCCCAACATTCGCGGAATATCTGGCAGTGTAAAAGGGGCTAATGTCTTACTTTTTGCCCCTTACAGGCTCAGATTGTTATACAGAGTGTCTGACAACATGATGGAATGGATCCCTACAGAGATAGACCTTGTTATTAAAGAGTAAGATCTATTAAGATCTAACCAAATACAGCCTTGAAATCACTATTTCCAAACACACCAGACCCCATTTACATAAACAGTAATTTTAGAATCGTAAAACACGCTTCATTCAAAGTTGACAGTAACAAAATAAAACCACAAAAACCACCTTGGCGCGTTTTTCCACTGCTCCAACACTCACCAACTTTCGTTTCATTTACCTAAACCCTTGATTCAACCAGTCAGATGTGACAATATGCCGGCTCTATACATGCTAAAATTACTGTTTATTTAAATGGAGTCTGGTGGCTTTGGCGACGGTGATGTCGGGTCTGCTTCTGGTGAAACAAAAAGGATCTTACTCTTTAATACCAAGGTCTATCTCTGTAGGTCTATCTCCTTTCCATAACAATGTCAGACAGAATGGTAATCGGAGCCTGTCAGTGGCAAAACAAGCACTTACATTACAGCCTGCCAGCTGCAGTGGTCTGGCTCAACACTGGACCAATTCAAAACCTGTAGTCACAATTAGTCACTTAGACACAAAAACATGAAAACACAAACACGAGTAACAAATTTACGCTCTTACATACTTTTCCTTATTGAATTTTTCATACAGCAGCTGTATGACTGTCTCAACAAAACCAGCATTGAAAAGGCAGGTAAATGTGACATCCACGCTTCTTTTAATGATTCACCAGCTCTCAGCAGGTGAGTCAAAGTTAATGATAGTCACGCTGCTCGGAGAAAATCCAATCTTTTCTTTCAATGCACTAAATGAATTTATACGCAGGCATGAAAGCGGAAAAAACGTCAACCCACAAAGAGTCAAAACAGAGCCGTCTACAGCAAAATAAGCGCTGAAATACAGTCTGACCTATGATTCACTAAAAAGACTGTTACCTTAAATGCATATCAGCCAGTCTGTGTCAGCAGTAAAGACAAAACTCTCTGACCTACATACGGAAATTCAAAATATGTTTTATTTTCATGTCACACACACAGCGCCATAAAGAACACCCATAAAATGAGTTCAAAGTTCGACTAGATTCCACTGAAGGGAGGCTGCCTTGATAAAGACAAGGGTTTGTCAATGATTAGTGATCAAACACAGCTTGTTTATAATCTTACACCACAGTGTCTAAAAGCCAAGATATAGGCTACTCTCTCAAAAGTTCAGACTAAAAAAGGAGAAAAGCTTACTTAGTTTCCAAGACTTCCTACAGCAGACAACCTGACAGCCACGCCTGCTTTCTGTAGGAATTGTCCAGGTGTGCACAAGTGTGAGAACAGGCAGCGCTCCAAGGTCTCTGCAAATTCTCTCCTGCACGTTCCTCACACTTCTGTCCCCGTCTGTTTTTACTGTTAAACTTCACAGATCACTTCTGTGTTTGCAGGCGCAGAGAGCTTTCATAGCAGCAGCTGCGACAGATACGAGCTGATACAGACTCCCACTTCACCTAATGGCCAAGTCAATAGTAAAGCCGATCTTAAAACACATACCAGGGAATGTAGCTACCTGACTGACGGTGTGTTCCTTGTTAATGCAGTAATGTACTTCCTGCAGCCTGTGTACTGATCTCTTGTACCAACAGATGTTTCCACTCGGAAAACCACCTTCAAAAGTTGTCTCTAAACTTGCTTTTTTCTGATGTCATAGACAATTCATAATCCAAATTTACTCTGAGACGAGATTTCAGCCTTAACAGTGAACGGATCAGGTACAACACTGTATAACATACATCTACGCTGAGAAAATGTTTTACTAAAATATTGTCATGCTCTGCTTAAGAGGGTCGCTCTCAATGAGGGACGACAGTGACTGTGCCCAAGTGAAACAGAACAATCTTCAGATGCATCAGACTGTCATTTTCTCAACTCTCTCTCTCTTACAAATTATTATGCATCATGTTTTCTAGATTGTTTGGTATATAAAACATCAGAAAATAGTGAAAAATGCCTATCACAGTTCCTTAAATGATATATCTTAATCACTCATTTAGTCTGACCAACACTCTGAAACCCAAAGATATGTAATGTACCATCATCAAGACTTATGAAAATAGCAAATACTCACATTGGAGAAGCTGAAACCAGTGATTCTTTTGGCATTTTTGCTCATATAGAGACTGAATCAATTATCACATTTGTTGCTGATTAACTTTCTGTTGATCGTTTTATAATACCAGCTCTAATGACCAAACTTTAGCTTCACTATTGACCTTGCTAATGACAGCCGTGAGATGTGGAGAAAGCTCTGAAAAAGCTAGCAAGAGCACCCTGGGTTCAGTTTGTCAAAATAGAAAAATTATTATTTAAAGCAGAAGTGTCAAACATGCGACACATGGGCCAGAACCAGCCCACGAAGGGGTCCAATCTGGCCCACTAGATGACTAGACCAAGAGGTGCTACGTTTCAGAAGCAAGTTAAACAATGCGTTGCCAGTTTCACGTAAAATCCTGCTGCAGAGGCTTTTCCACACTGACCAGAATACAGTTCTCTGATATAACAATGAATACATACTGTGACCATGTTTAAAGATATTGAACATTGTGCAAAATGTTGTCAGTCAGCAGCTTAAGTTGAGAAGAATCTGTATCAGGAAATGTGTGGATAAGTAGACTGACTGAATGTGGAAAAACTGAGACCCTGTTGAAACTGCACTTATTTTTCTTAAGACATCTCAGGCTGTTCATCTGTGTTGTACAAAGATGGATGTCTACAGAATAAAGTTGCAGTTCTTTACACAAAAAAGAGTAAGATATTGGTGCTGATGTTACTTATAGGTTATTGTGCGATGGTTTTATTGCTCTGGCCCATGTGAGATTAAATCGAGCTGTATGCAGCCCCTGAACTAAAATGAGTTTGACACCCCTGATTTAAAGCAAGAATTGTAAAGACTAAGTTAAAACAAATCAAGCATCTGTTGCTCTCCATATCTTAAGTTTTCAATACTGTGTGCAACAGACCCATTTCAATCAATACCTAAGGTGTATTGATATCCAAAACCAAGTCCTAAACTTGAGATCACCCAAATCTATATGATGATATCATCAGTTTAAGTACTAGAGTGAAACTCTACGTAAATGTGCCTTTGATCAAGAGACGTGATTGACTCAATTTTAAGGTGAATTCACATGCATGAATAATTAAGTGCTTTTGCTATTGTTGACAATGGAACAACTGACGACCAAAACAACCCCTCTGATTGAATTTACAGATCCACAGATGCTATCCATGGAGGTATGATCCTGTCATGCAGAGTCAGCCATCAGTCACTGCAGTGTTTGGGTCATGTGTCCCCTTCAGCCTGACTCTTAGCACACCTACTTCCCAACCATCAAACAGGACGACCTTGCCTTTAAACTGATTGCTTAATTAACGTTACCATAATAGCAATGGGGCTTTACACCTGGTCCTGTAGTCATCACCCTGCGCCAGATCTCACATTAGCCAACCGAAGCGGCTTACGCTCGGGTCCGCCGGAAAACAACAATCAATGCATTTCATTAGCGAGATGATGTAGCAGGCTAGTTGGTGCTGCAAAGATAATTAGCTAGCTTAGAAATGACAGCCATGTAGGTGCTTAGTTTGTCACGTTAGCGTGTTCGAGCACTGTAGCAGTCAGTAATATGACAGTTACTCACCTTTGATAGCTGTAGGAGTCTCAACAGTTGTCGCGAGCTCCTGATTTCCACGGATACCTGCTAGCTGGTTGCTAGTAAGTTAGCGCTCGTAGGTTGCTAACGGCTAGCTGCTAATGAATTCCACAATGTCAGAGCAGTAAACGGGTGAACAGCGCGCGAGTTAGCCGGAGACAACTGGCGAGCTAGACCATAGTGAGCCGGGGGAGCTGACACATTAACCACTCCTTCATTCGGGCTGCTGTGCATCCTGTTAGAGACAGATAAACATCCCATTTGATGATTTCTCAAACACTCTTCCCTTTCCCGCAGCCATCTTACTTGGACTCCTCCCACACGACTTCTCTGACTCACACCCACAGCGACGCTGCTGCCCTCCGCTGTATGAGGGGTTTCAAGTGCCAGCAGTCCGGAGACAACTATGTGACCCAGTTCTGGTTTCATGCTGATAAATGGACACTGCGTACTGACCACTCTGTTATAAAGAAACTGATGGAGAACGAGAGATCAGTTCTTAAATTAGCTCATGTTGAAAATAATTAGTTTGACAACCCAACTCAAAGTCCTTTACCTGCTATTTCAACCATCCATCCTTTTCCTCAGTTTGCATAGTTGTCATGGTGATTGATACTGACATGTCTTTGCTCATCATATGTTGGCTTAAAGGGGCACTCCATTGTAGTAACCTTCAAATAAAGCTGCATCCTATATTTCGGCTAAGGCAGGGGTCAGCAACCTTTACTATCAAAAGAGCCATTAAGAAAAAAAAATTCTGGCTGGAGCTGCAAAACATATTTGAATAAAGATAACAGCCTGTTAAGTCTTAATTAGCCCATCAACATTATGAACCGGTCTAAAGCCCCATTTCCACCAAACACTTTCAATATGGTACCTTTGGAACCAAAATTAGCCCTTCAGACATGGTACCTAGACCCAGAGTTTTTACTCTTAAATGTGGGTGGGGTTGTTGCCACTCACTGCTCCATCCAGCACTCACTGTATTTCCTCCTTTATCAGTGTGCACCTCGTTTATCGTCCACAGAAAGAGGCTGCACACTGACATTTTCAGGACAAAACTGAACAGGCTGCAGTGAGAGTCTCTACCAGGTTCCTCTCAGGCAAGCTCAGGGGTTTAGTGTTGCTGTAGCCCACAGGAACAAAGCTCCACAACGCTTTTTTTTTTCTCAGAGTGAGGATTTGAATATATGCAGTTCACATAATCCAGACAAAATTAATATATATTTTTAAACACTTGAAGATCCACTAGGGCATTAACAGAAAAGTCGATTTGTCAACGTGTCGACGTCAGTGGCACAAGTCGACACCCCCCGGGAGGAGTCGACAAGTCGTGTGTATTTTCCCTCTCTCTCTCTCTGCGTGCTTGTGTACGGAATGCAACTGTAGGCTTATCCAATGTTAAGAAAACGGTTACTCTTCCTGTCTCCTAAGTGGGCGTGGTTAGGTCTCCCTCCAATCAGAGCCTGTTCTCCATCAAATGACTTGTCGACTCGACTTCATTACTGAAAGTGTCTGTCATATAAAACTAAAGTAATGATCAAAGTTGTCACAGTGACATGTAAGGTGTGTTGATGGATACACGTCCATGTGTGAGTTGAACACATTGAGTAACATTCCACCTAAAAGTTGCCGGCAGTCAGCCCAGTGACTTAGGTTACTTTTTCTCAGACTCCAGCTGCTGTGAGAGGCAGCAAAACATCCTTTCATTTTATAGATACAGTTTACTAATAAAACTCCACAGTATGAACAGTGGTTACATGAGCCTCAAAACCAGACACAACTCAGCCCTGAGCAGAGTGACCGTCCTCTACTGACCAAATTGTGTCAAGAGACCGTGTCCAACCCTTGTTTGCATAAAGTTGAGTCAAGGCTACTTAATGCAAATCAGCTTCTAAACTAACTGTTGTTGATCTGAAGACAGGTTTAGCAACTGAATGGCTGATCTCTTGCCTCATATGTTTTCAGAAACACATGTCGGGAAAATATTATCTTAATATAAGAGAAAGTTTCCAAATGACCCGACATTTTGGTTTGGTTTTAAAGAGAGCAGACTGCCCATGTACCTGGTGGCACGCCCATCAAGCATCCAATGCTGGGAAGCAGCGCGACCCCTCATGTCCAGAAACGCCTCTGTGGACAAAAACAAAGACCTCCCTGCCTCCAAAATGCCCTCTCATTTAAGTCAAACCCCACACTCAGTTTATGACACAAGCTTTATGTTAAAAACTTTCCCTTAACATGGCCAATCACAGTGATTAACACACAAAAACACTATAGGAAAGGATCCATGTTTGTTTTAACATTTTCATTTTAGCACTGAATGACAGCAGCAGATATATACTGTCAAAGGAGTAAAATATGGCAAACTCTTAACTAACTCTAGAGAGCTAAAACACCAAACCAGGGCTAAAACACTACATAATACTGAACTGAGCTAGGGCTAAAACAGCAGCAAATGTTGCACCAAAGTAGGGATGAAACACTGGCAAATATTGGATCAAACTCAGCCCAGTCACCAGAATAAATTGTTCATATTATACATTATTGCAAACCACAAATATGTACACAAATACATGTGCATGTTTCATACATATCATATCAGCACTTCTAAAGTGACATAATACATATGGTGATTTTGTCACTGGGAGGTGACGGTATGTGAAGCAGGCGAGACTCTGCTCAAAACCTACAACACAGGTTTTTTTGGTGACCCTTTGCGGCACTTCCACAGGTGTTTGTGGCACTGAACCTGGGTGCTTTTCACTTTCACATTGCAGCATTTCCCAGCACAATCTGAGCCACCGAACCTGGGCATTGTAAGACAAAATATAATCTTTTCCCAACCATTATCAAATGATTTTTGTGCTTAAACCTTACAGGACTTTCACCACAGTGTTGTGGAGAAACATTAAGTTTCAATGTATCCACCACAAAACAATATAACAAACCCTTGGTTTACAAATTGTACAGTATGAACATTTTTTCTACCTATGGGTTCGTCAAACCAGGGCTAAAACACCACAAAATGTTGGAGTCTCATACTCAAGCTGAGATAATGCCATATGACATCATCTGGGTTATTATTTCAATTTAAGAAAACTCCCTCCAGAGAAACAAGACGTCACACAGGATGATTCGTAGGCCACTCCTTGTGACAAATTAATTTAACTTCATGTGTAAAATAGGTGGAGTGCCCCTTTAAAAGTCTGACATAAACATTAACTTGACCTCAGAAACAAAAGAGTCTTCATCAGTTGATGAAGGCTGTGTGATGTGCATGAAAGCTTTCAAAAAATAGCAAGTAGACCTTGAGTTTGGATTGTTCTGTCAAAACGCTGCCAATGGTTTCGTAATGTTCTGTCAGTGTGTGAAACTTCAGTCTTTCTCTGGTCGAGGCAGGTCACCTGGGCAGTCGATAAATAAAAGATTTTCTTTTACTTAATTATCTATATATTTTATTTTATGTTTATACGTTTTATTATTTTATTTTTTGCAACATTTAATTTTGCCCAGATTTTCTGTGGTTAAAAATCTAAAAAGACATACTTAGAGTATCTATAACTCAATACACAGTGCGCTCTGTATTATTTTTTATTTACAGTGAAACATCCTCTGTAGTTCGGACTCTCCACTCCAGACCTCTCTGGTTTTCTAGGGGAAGGAAGAATTCCCAGAGGACACATGACATCTGTTGTGGTTTGTCTTCCATGGAGACCTGCATCACCAAGCAGTGCTCAGGTAGATCTGATCTGTTGTCAGGTGAACCATGTAGTGCTGCTTGATGCAACAAGGTCATTTTAACTGTCGTTCAAAAAGATGCAGCGCTCATACAGGAGGAGACGAAATCAAAACAGAAGGCCATGCTTACGAAAAATGTGTTAGTCTGAAGCTTCACTTTTGAGAATGGATAAAACAGGTGATGTTGGTATCAGACGGAACCAATGGCAGAGACTGTTCAGGTGGCAGCGGAGGCAGAAAGTAACTGAGGAAGGAGAAGATGGAGTCAAGGATGAAGGGAAACAGAATGCCAGTGTGGATTCCAAGTTGAAAGTTAAGTGAGTAATTAATGGATCATAATCATGGAGTTAATTAGATATCTGGTTTGAGTAATTTAAGGTAATTAGGATTAATGTGAGGACATTTATTCATTTATTCAGACTTCATCGCCTCTGAGTTGGTCAAGAACTAACAAGCCTCTACGATGACAAAATAACGTCCTAAACTGTGCATGCTAATGTGCTCTACTAGAGAGCACTAAGAGCATTTTTAAAGAAGTGATTTTGTTGTTGCGTCTGTCTTTATCAGTAGATTTTAGAAAGCGTAATCAAATCATAGTTTGAAAATTACAGGCAGATGTTTATGTGTATGATGAACAAAATTAAATGTTGTAATAACTACTTTATGATGTACGTAAGAAAGCATTCAGAACCACTTGACGAAAAGTTTAAATCATATTCATCCTATTTATACAGATGTCTTTCACGAACATGGACTATAATTTTTGTGTGTTTGCGTGTGTGTGTTTGTGTGTGTGTGTGTGTGTGTGTGTGTGTGTGTGTGTATGTTGTTTTCTTTTTTAAAGGGACAGTTCACCCCAAAATCAAAAATACATATTTTTCCTTTTACCTGTAGCATTAATTATGAATCTAAATAGTTTTGGTGTGATATCAGCCATAGAGATGTCTGCCTTCTCTCCAATATGATGGAACTAGATGGCAAAAAAATTAGGTTTTAAAAGCTCAACAACAATGTCTCTTTCCAGCAAATCATGACCTGGTTACTCAAGATGATCCACAGACCTTGTTGTGAGCAGTTTCATGTAGGAACTATTTTCTTTCTACCATACTAAAATCCCCAACCCTTTCACCGAGCAGGGGGAAGCGTGCATGGACAAGAGGCTTGTGCTAGTAACAGGGCGAGATGTAAACATTGATGTTGTCCTCCTCAGCTGAGCTATGACATTAGCTATGTGGTGTTAGGTGATACACGCTTCCTTCTGCATGGTGCTATGGTTGGCGGGTGTCGGTCAGTGGAAAGAAAATAGTTCCTCCATGAAACTGCTCACAGCAAGGTCTGTGGATTATCTTGAGTAACCAGGTCATGATTTCTGGAAAGAGACATTGCTGTTGAGTTTTTAGGACATACTATTTTGGTGCTTTGAGCACCACAAGCCGAGTGCCATCTAGTTCCATTATATTGGAGAGAAGGCAGACATCTCTACGGCAGATATCTCCAACATTCAGCAACTCACACCAAAAAAGTCTAGACTGATAAATAGAATTTTGAGTAAAATCAAAAACATGTATTTTTGATTTTGGGGTGAACTGTCCCTTTAAGTGTTTAAGATGTCATCCTGTGACCGATTTTGTTCACATTTAGCTTATTATTCATGTAGACATGAGATCTATGAACCACAGTTTCTCTGTCACAGTTCTCCTCATGTCACGCTGACACCATTATGACTGATCATCTTCGTTTTCCTCTCCCTTAATCATCATTTCCCTCTCAGCTGGAAAGAGTGGGTGGTTGATCCGGCAGACCAGTTTTATTACGTCTGGCTACAGATTATGATCTTTCCCATTGTGTACAACTGGGTGATCATCATTCTGAGGTACAGACATTATGAACATGATGAATATCAAACAGTCATAAAATATCTGAGCATATAACCTGTAATCATGTGACATACTCTGTCTCATTATTGGCTATGTTTCCTCAGGACATGTTTCACTACAATTGCAATGAGCTACCTGCCTGTGTGGCTCACACTGGACTATCTGGCAGACCTCATGTATATGATTGACATGGTCATCATTGTTCACACAGGTAACTTTTATTTTGAGATGCTGAAATTAAAATTATGTTTGTCACATATGCAGTCCCATAAAATGGAAGTCATAATGAAACACTAGAACAATCATACCACAGACTATAAAGACAATAAATCACTCATGTCGCTTTTAAAATCAATCTCAGCACCTGAATCTCATTGTACATGGCCTGCATGCTTGAGTTAGCCAAAACTTCATTAGCCTTCCCCCAATGTAGTGCCTTTTAGTTTTTGTGTAACTGCTCAGTAAACTATGTCTTGTCTCGCCCAATATACGTCACCTTCACCAGGTAGCTAGATGATGATGTTTTATCAGGCGACAGCAGGTCTTTTTATCAGCTGGGAAGCAAAAGAACGAGCAACGCCTGTTGCCTGTGTGAAGACATCCCGGTACAAAACACGCAGCTATTGTAGCTTTAGCAAAGAGAAAGTTGTGATTTCACTTATGCAACTTGTGTGGTCTTCTAATTACATATTTTTGCAGTCTTATACTTCAACAGTTTCTTCACAGTCACTTCGACAAACTGAGACTTATTTTGACTTTTCAATTGACAAATATGTGTAATCCATGAAAACATATTTGTCTCTTGCTGTTGACTACCGTACATATTTTTTCTGACTTCATGTCCCATGGTGGTCCACCAGAAGGGGAGGGACTCTGCTTCTCAATAGTTGCCAACCTTGCACCTGTGTATGAAGTGTTCTCTGTGCATTGTTAAACCTTGTTCTTCCCTCTTCAGGTTACTTGGATCAGGGCATCCTGATCAAGGACCTAACTCAGCTGAAGAAGCACTACCTGCACTCCAAACATTTCCTAAGGGACCTTGTTTCCTTGCTGCCCACTGACTTCCTCTACTTTGTCTTTGGCATCCAAACTCCGCTGGTAAGGATCAACCGCTTCCTGCGCCTGCCACGACTCAACGAGGCCCTGGATCGCATGGAGACGAGGACCTCCTACCCCAACACCTTCCGCATCTCCAAACTCATGATCTACATCTTTGTGTTGATCCACTGGAATGCCTGTCTTTACTTTGCTCTGTCCAACTACATCGGCTTTGGAAGTGATCGTTGGGTTTACCCCAACATCACCAACCCGAAGTTTGCCTCCATGCGTCGGCAGTACTTTTACTGCTTCTGGTTCTCTGCTCAGATTTTCACCACAGTGGGAGACACCCCTTTGCCAAAAAGGGAAGAGGAGTACTTGTTTATGATTGCAGACCTGCTCATTGCCGTGTTGGTGTTTGCATCGATTGTTGGCAATGTTGGTAATGTCATCACGAGTCTGAGGGACCGTGATAATGTCTTCTTCCCTAACCATGAGCTGGTAAGTGGAAATACTTCAGTTTCTGAAATATATCTCCCTTCTAAGAGTTTCTATAATATATATGATATGATGAAGCAGATGACTCCATGGCTCCTTTCCTCTCTCAGGTGAAGGCTTACCTGCGTAGCCATCACATTAGCAAGGAACTTCGACAGCGTATCGACAACTGGTACCAGCATCTTCACATCAACAAGAAGATCATGCGAGAGAATGAAATCCTGCAGCAGCTGCCCGTACACCTGAGGACAGAGATTGCTGTCAGCGTTCATCTCCCCACACTCTCCAAAGTCACCATCTTCCAGAGCTGTGAGAAGAGTCTGTTGGAGGAGCTGGTGCTTAAACTAACACCTCAGGTCAGGGGGAAGAAGGTGGCAGTCTGAGAATAGAGAGTTAGGCCATGCAATATTATCTAATGTGTCACAAATGCTTTCAGAGAAGAATTGTTTAAGGATAAAGTGGTTTCTGACGCCTTTTGTGTCTGCAGGTGTTCAGTCCAGGAGAGTACGTTTGCAGGAAAGGAGACGTGGGCCATGAAATGTACATCATCAAAGAAGGGAAACTTGCAGTTGTAGCAGATGATGGGGTCACAGAGTATGCTGTGCTGAGTGAATCAAATTTCTTTGGGGAAATTAGTATCCTCAATATCAAAGGTAAGTCAAGCCTCACTGTAATACAGCATTTATTCAAGGAATACTTCACCCCTGCATTTAACAATAATAAAACTATATCAAAACATCAATTTACAAACTCTCACACAACTCGTGCAGGGTAATCCAAGTCTCATTTATCCAGATGTATGTTCAGTACTTCCTAAATGGACAGCCCTCTCGAAAGAGGGAAGTGAATAGAACTAAAAGTGAAATTTATCTTCGCTCTCTTCAAAGCCAGACTCTACTGACCAAAACAGAAATTTCTCCTTGCTGATTGGTCTACCACACAGACTGTATAATAAAGATGGACAACCTGACAGCTCCTCAAAGGTGAAGCCAAAACATCTCCATCGCCCCCTGGTGGCTGGCTGCAGTATAGGTCATTAACTCCAGCCCGTCTATGTTAGTGGATGGGACATAAAAGATCAAAGTTGTAGGTCAAATCATTTTTCCAAAGATGGTTTGTAATCAGGTGTTCATTTTTCTTATAAGTTTGGTTGTAAGTAGTTATTTAATGCTATAAAAAGAGGGCTTGGCATCATGACTGACAGCTGTGTGCCACTCCAATGCCAGTTGCTCGTGATTGTTCCGATGGCAGGATGACGTCTACAGACTCTGGCTCCGAATGATGAAGATAGGAGCTAATATATTTATGATATTTGGGCTTAATTTTTGTACAGTAGGAGGAAGTGGAGATGTGTTGTCCATGTTTATACAATCATTGATCTACCACTGCCTTGATTGTTTGTTTTTAGTACAAGTACTATTATCTAACCAAAGATGACATTAGATATATCATGTTGAGTTCTGAAATCATAAGTTCACAGATGCAGGAAAACATGAACACGAACATGGAAACAAGACAAAATGTAGGTGCATTAAATGTGCATAATGTTAATAAAGGGGAAAAAAAGAAATAAAATTAAATTAAAAAAAGGAAACTAAGTCTAAGTACAGGATTTCTTTAACCTCTGCTATTTCTCTGTCTGTTACTCTTGTCTCACTCATTAACTCATATTCAAAAGAGTGGGTTTCAACTCGACAGCGGACCAAAAAGATGCAAACCAAAGGCACGATACAAAGCTATGAGAAAGGGTAACTTGACATGGTGGTGACACGTTTGGAAAGATGTTGTGTACTCTTGCCTTGGAGCAGTGGAATCTGTGTAGTGTTTTAAAATATACAAGACGGTGTCTGGTGTTAGTTGAGCATTTGTGTATTTGCTTGAGGCTCTCTTCCAATACGTCATCTAGTCAGCTAGTATTTTAATACCTATTTCTTTTTCCTTATTATATTTAATTTTCTATTTATTTGTGAGCTATTGAACTTTCAGAAGATGGAGAGACTAATGATATAGATGATATATAGATGATGATAGGTAGGAGATGAAGTTATCACGGTTTGGTCACATTTTGAGACAGTTGTCTATTGTTGATTGTCTCTCAGTTTCAAATCCTATTAGATGTTTTTGTATGTAATCTGTAATCAGTGCCTGAAAAAAAATATAGTAGTAAAATATGTAGTTGTGCAAAGGTGGCAAATGTACCTTTTATATTTCGATCTTTGACACTATGTATTCCAAAGTCCCTCCATGTACAGAGGGTTTTATAGTTGTTTGTTAATGTGTGACTTTGGTGTTTTAAAGGGTTTTAAACTCACACAATAACACTGTAAAATCACTGTTGTTGTCAATGTAGTCTGGCTTTGAAGAAATAGATTCACTTTCAGTTCAGTTCCCTGTCAGAAAGGGCTGTCTGGGATGTATTGAGCATCCGACTGGATATATTAAGACTTGGATTATACTGCACAAGCTGTGTGAGAGCTTGTAAACAGATGTTTTGATTAATTTTTGCTGTTGTTAAATGCGGTTGCCTTTGACTTAAATTCATCACAAATGTTCTCAATTTCTGGATTGTTCGTTCACTGCAGAGACATGCAAGAGAAACATTTTTTTCTCAATTAATTCAACTAAACATGAAGGCAGTAACTGATATACAAATGCTCTTCTGGTAGGGTGAATTACTCCTTTAATGCCTGTACAGTAGGTGATGAATAGACCTTTACTAGACTGGTATAGATGGTTCAAGCAGACATGAATGATTTGGTACCAAGAGGAAAGACATCTCTCTGTGCTGCTTTTGGACCTTGCTAATGCATTCAGCCCTGCACTCCTGAAGTGAAGGATCCAACGGTCAGGAATGAAGCACTTACTGTGTTAAAACTGCTCAAGACTGGAAAGTTTGATTGTAGTTGAGCTTAAAATTAAAGGTCAGTTGTGTAACTGTGGTTAGAGTTACAGAGAAAGAGCATGGGAAGATTCTGTAGATGGGGCTAATAAAAAAGGAATCTGCAGTGAGGCTGGAAAGCACAGATCAGAGAGACACGACTGTAAAATGTTTATTTTTTTATTTTAAATCTCACAGAAATTACATTTTCCTTTCAGGTAACAGGTCAGGCAACCGTCGCACCGCCAACATCCGAAGCATCGGCTACTCTGACCTCTTCAGCCTGTCCAAAGAAGACCTGACAGACGTGTTATCTGAGTTCCCCGCAGCCAAACGTCACCTGGAGGAGAAAGGCAGACAGATCCTCACCAAGATGGGCATGTTGGAGGACAGCGGAGAGGCGGAGGAGGGGGAGGCAGAGCAAGTGGAAATCAAGATAAACAGGCTCGAGAGCAACCTGGAAGTCCTGCAGACAAAACTAGCTCGACTCATGGTGGAATTAGAGTCGAGCCACCGCAAGATGCAGGCCAGGGTGGAGCAGCTGGAGTGGGAGGTGGCAGCACTGGAGACACAGCTGCCAGAGGATGGAGAGGATGGAGAAAGAGCCCAGGGAAGAGGTGAAGGGGTGGGAGGGGAGGTCGGATGGGAACGGGAAGAGGCAGAGGGAGAGGAGGAGGGCTCAGATGCAAAGGTGAAAAAACAGGGACAGGGAGAGGATGGTAACGATGTGACCAAAGAGGGAGATGGAGAGAGCACTAAAAGCACAAAGGAAGATGTGGAGAGGATGGTGGAGGGAGATAAATCTGGGCTGAAAGACCCCGATAATCAGGAGAAGAAAAAAGAAGATGGTGGAGAGAAAAACAGAGAGAAAGGAGACGACCGGCCTGGGAAGGGAGACGGGGCTGAGATTGAACCTAAAGATAAGAAAGAAGAGACAAGTGGAGAGAGAGAATCTGAAGAGGGGAGAGAAAAGGCTGAAGAAGACTCAGAGATGGAGCAGAAAGATGAAGGGCAGAAAAACAGCAAAAATAACCAAAAAGGAGAATAATTAAGAAATAAAACTGTGTATTTTTGTCTGTTTAATAATAATAAAAATATTGAAAGCCTCAACATCTCATTGACACACTTTCCACAGTCACCTTTGTACCCCTAGATGGCAGCATTGTATCCCCCACTACTGATAGATATGACTCATTCAAACACAACATAGTGTCGAAACTAGAACATTAATATTACATATCAGGACTGGGACAATAACAACAATGAAATCATCACGTATGACATTATCTAACAGAGAAACGTAACAGTAAGTAAAACATGAAACAAAAATTATAAAGAACAAAATTACAGGGGACTTCTGGATGAAGCAAACTATGAAAATTTAATACACTGATTAAACGATAATTAGCAAGACACATCCTGAGCAATGACATCTTGCATGCCATAACATTTTTGTTTAATTTTTACAAATTTCAAAGAGTTGATGAATTATCCTATTTAATTAATAAAAACAAATGAATTAGGCTTTCTGTTTTTTCTCCCTTACATACACCACTCTCCCATTTGAATGACTGTATCAATTAGAGGATATGTGATTGTTAATAGTTTCCATATATCTGTATGGCTAAATATGGGAATACTAGGTTTTTTATTTGTTTTTACACACATTTCTTTTATAACATAACATAACACTTAATAGCTTCTTGTTGTAGGTTGAATGCTAATTTATTGAACTTTTATTTTAATGAACAAACTGTCTCTTTTAAGCTTAATGTTCTTAAATCTAAGAACATCTAGGCTATGTAGGTCATTGCAGGCAGATTAAATTAGTGTACTACAGTGAAGTAGTAATAGTTTTACTTTTAAGTAAAGGATCTGACTTCTTCCTCCTTAAAGGAATACTTCCCACAAAATTACCTCTTGTATAGCAGTTAGTTGTGCTGTGTTACCTTGAATTAATGAAGAAAACTTTGCTTTGCATCTCACCATGCAAAAAAGCATATGTATAAATGTATTTATTGATTGATTGGGACCAGATTTAACAGCAGCAAAACTATATCAAAACATCTGTTTACAAACTCTCACACAGTTTGTGCAGTACAAACCAGATTTCACACTCAGTACTTCCCAAACACATGCATTTTTGCTCAAAAAATATCATTTAAAACTGAATAGAAAGTGAAATGTGTCTATGCTCTCCTCCAAACCAGATTCCAGTACCATTTGTTTTTCTTCTTTTAATGAAATGCATGTGTCTGGGAAGTACAGAGCACATGACTGGATAAATGAGACTTGAATTATCGGCCTACTGCAAGAGTTATGTAATGGTTTTTAAGGGGATGTTTTTCCCAATAGTATTTTTAATGATTTTAACAATAGTAAACATCCAGTGTGTGTATATATACATCCACAATCACACAAAAGAAAAGGACACCTGAACAAAATCTTGGAGTAACTGCTGAGTATTTAAAACACATGTAATCCACTCCCACCATCCCCAACCCCAAATGTATGAATATAAAGGAAAAATAAATAAACAAATTATTCCTTTAAGTAAATAACACAAACATAGTATCTTACACTTCACCTCTGAGTCAGTCTCTTAAATAAAACACCTGTGCCGGCTGTCACATAAAAGCACAGGCTGGCCCTTTAATGACGCACAATTACGCACTTCCCGGAAGTGCAGTGGGGACACAGGCCCCATCGATTCAACACAACTGCATACATAAGCATTTACTAATAATAAAGCTCGGTTTGTATATAATTTTCATGGAGTGCTACCGCTAACACATATGGAGTGTCAAGAGGAAAAGCCGATCATCTATACTATGGAAAACAAGCCGATTGTGACATGTGAGTGTTTTTAAAAGGAGACGTGCAGTCTTATTTTTCTGCTCTTGACAGTTAGCCAGGTGGCTACATTCATTAGCTCATTTAGCTAAGCTAGCTGGTGCCTTCGTGTTAACCAGCTCACAGACGCTTCGTGTGTGTGTGTGTGGTGATGTGCGGCTTAATTTGTCACGGCTATAATAGTTTATTTAACATGCTGCAGTGCTGTGTGTGATAAATGTTCACATGGGAAATGGTGTCTCTCTCTCTCAGCTAGCTATTAGCTACACTGATTAACAGGCCTGACGTTAGCTAACGATATAACGTCACGGCTAGTTGCTGCAGTTTTGGGAAGGATATCACCTTGTTCCCCGGTGGACAGCCACGGTCTCCTCCGTTAGCAGCTCACACTGCAGCCGCCACATGATGTCGAGGCGGTGGGGTCAGTTTGCCATTCATAAATCCCCAGGAATCCTAGGGTAGCTTCTAAGAGGGGTTATTTTAGGAGCCGACTCTGGCAGCGGGAGCCAGGTTCATCTCACACCGCAGGCTGCTCCATTTTTAGGACAGAGACGTCCAAAGGTGTCCAAGTACAGGAGTGGACAGAGGCACAGAGAGGAGGGAATATTAAAGAAAGGCATAGGTGTGACCTTTGCCAGGTGGGATTGAGTCGTGGATTCAAAGTCACAGGTTGCCCCAAGTTTCCTTAGGGGTTGTCAGGTGTCCTAACTCAGGTGTGTGCCTCAGAGCTCATTCATGTAGCCATGGGCGAATTAGAAGATATTGGGCCCCTGGGTGCAGATATGCAAAAGGCCCCACTGTTTCTCCTACACATGAGTCATACACAGGCTTTGAAGTGGTTTGCCTCCTTTGTGTAGCGGTTTTGTGTCTCTGTGAGGTCATGCCTGGGCTGGTGGGTACAAGTTAATTTTACAGGTGAAGCACTTGCAGCCCCTGGGCTTGTGCACAGTAGGCCTGTTCAGTACTACGGCCATGGTTGTAACATATGTGACTTTTGCATCAGTGATTAGATTCAGAAATAATTCACGATTATGTCAAATTTACAAATAACACCTGCAAGTTGCATAACAAAAAAGCGATTTATAGGGCACGCCAAATTCCCCAAAGAGTCTGTATCCATGGTGTTCAGTGATGTAGAAGTTTTGTCTATTTCTCCAAATTATCCGTAATCTGATCTGAACAAAGATGGTAACCAGAAGTCAACTTCATTTGGTCAAGGAATGAGAAAAAGTGTTATTTTGTGGAGAGATTAAAAAAAAATAGGATTATGCACATAAATGCAAAGTGAGTTTTATGAAAAATCTGCCAGGTCTTTTACACAGTGGTTTATTTTTAAGAGTCCGTTGTAATTATTAAAGGATTTAATGTAAAATTAATTACTACACGAGAGACATAATCTAACAGAGTGTCTGCAGGTCCTTAAAACATCTTCAGATGTCTTAATTTCATAAATATCATGCATATTAAATAGTCTTAAATTTGAATTTAGTAGGTCTCAATTGCCACAAACATTTTATCTAATTTAATTCATCTATCTTTTTATTTTCTTTTTGTCAAAGTGAGCCAAACTCTCCTGGGTAAAAGACCAAATTTCTGATGTCACAAATCTTTAAACCTACCACTGAGCCTAAAACTGTTTATAAACCTTACACTTGGACTTGCCTTTTGGCAAAATGTAGATTAATCTTACACACTCTAATAACCATATTCTTGCAAAAAAACTACCTCTGCACAGAACCACAAATATACAATATCCTTACCTGCAATGCTTGAATAAGAAAAAGATGATTTGCCCAAGAATTCAGTCTTAAATTTAGTTGAAAAAGCATTAGGTTTTAGTGTCTGATACATGTAGACACACTCTCTAAGGCTGAGGTAGAAAAGTGCACTTGCAAATCAGAAATATGTAAAAAATATATTGTTTTATTTACTTAATCATTGATATAAATCACCTGCAGAATGTACTGTACGTAACACTCAGACCAAGTGTAGTTTTGTCCTAAAATACATAGCATGTGCTGAAATATTGATTTATATATCTATGAATTAAAAGCTTGCATCTGAGTGTGCAAGTCTGCTCCCTCCTTCTGTTTTTTACTGGTGTCCTCAGCAGGATGAGCAGTTACTACTTTCACTAATATCTGACCCAGTGTGTGTGAGACTGACTCACACAGTCACAGGGATTATACTGGTGTTTGCTCTGCAGGGTTGTATTTGATAACAGTTTTTGATAGGCTTTGTGAACATTCAAAGTTCAGTTTTGTTTGGACTATACTGCTGGAGATTTAATATCCTGGAAAAATGATTGACATCAACTAACGCACACAGACGCATTAGTTAAATGTGCGTACTGCTGCACTTTAAAAATGACATTTGGCTTCCAGTTTCAGACGTGAACTCTGACTGACATCAAGCTGTAAGATTGAGCAGTTTATAGTTTATGTGTATTGTACATGCAGATATTTTTACATATGGCATATTGCACATAGCAATACTCCACATCCAGTGAGGTCTTGTATCTGTTCAGGTGTTAAACAGTGGGAAAGAACGCTTACTAATTGATTTACAGTGCAGTCAAACTGTCAGCACAGGGAAATGTGTTGGCTGAACTCCAGCACACTGGATCCACATAGACCTCACTATAAGATTGAAGTGGTGACGTTCATCTTTCAGGATGTTTGAGCATGTTTACATTAACACAGGGTGAACAGTGTAGGAGTAGTGCTGTTTCCCCTTGAGGGAGGGGGGATCATAAATAGGGCTTTTTTACGTGGTTCATTGGAAGTGGCCCAGTTCCAGCGTAGCTTGAATTGTTACCTCAGCCCTACAAGTCACTGTTTATCAGAACACACACAGCTAACCATAAATGACACTTTGGGCTTTTCTGAAATGGGGCAGCGGCGATGACATTGAAGTCACTTTATTGTTGAACTGACTGAGGATTCTTGCATACACCTTCTCCACCACATTCTTGGAGCCTTGCTTGGTGCTATTTTGTGAACCAGCCTGCTTTTCCACCAGTTTTGAGCCCAGATATCATAATCAAGGATGCATTATCAACGCAGGGCTTTGCAAGAGGCAACACTGCTCTGATACACCCGCTGAAGTCATCATGGTTCGCCCTTCAGGTCAAGGAAAGCCTCGCATATTTTGGTTCCAGCTGGGAAACAACTTTTCAGGTTCAATACCAATTTATTTTATTTATTTATTTTTTAAAGATATTTTTTAGGACATTTTTTGCCTTTAATTAACAGGACAGTGAAGTGTGAAGGGGGGAGAGAGAGAGAGAGGGAGAGAGAGACATGCAGCAAAGGGCCACAGGGTGAAC